CCTGAGCCTCGTTTGCCTAAACCTTGATTAGGAAGGAAGCCCTGAGTGAGCATTTGTTTGGTGACTACAGCATTGGGACTGCCCATCATCATTCCCATTTGAGTTAGCAAATCTCTGCCCCACAAGTTAAGGGGCAGCCCTTCTACAATATAGGGCTGTATGTGTCCTCTACCTTCCAGAGCAGATAGTTGCCCCCTGAAAGTGTAGCTCTGGCTAAATCTCTCCAATCATTAGGCGTAATCCAGCCTTGGGTTAAAGAATCCAAGACCGCAAGGGTGAAGGCCGCTGTGGGACCATATTGAGATACTGCTTTTTTTAATTTTTTTAGGGCAGATACTGGGAATGGTGCATGGGCCCTATTGGCTCTCAGTGCTAGGGCCGATTGGTCTGTGTCTGTATCACTGCTATGCGAGTCAGAGTCATTTTCTTTCTCACTATTATCAGTTTTTATATCTCGTCTTTGTAGACGTGGTGGCTGTCTTTTTTTATTTCCCCTAGTTGTGGTAGTGGCTTGTATTTTATCTCTTTCATGTTCCTGACTTGGGGATTGAGTCCCGCGTCTAGTTCGCCTCCTTTGTCTCCCCCTTTCCCTAATTGATTTAATGTCGCCCTCTTGTGGACTGGCACTAGCTTGGGTGGGTTGAGTTGTCTCCCCACCATTGTGTAAGTTATCGTCACTCGCTCCAGCTTGGGCAACTTCTGTTACAGGAAACAATAAGGGATGTGTTACTCTCAAGGCCTCTGTATTGGGAGGGCAGGCAGTCTCTGTAACTGGGAACATCATTGTGGGCTGACCACCTGGTGACCCTGAGATAGGCGCTATCTTAGAGAGTGGCAGGCCCGTGACGGCCATCGTTCTAGGGGGGTTTGCATGCAAAGTTTGGAGCTCTAAGGAAAGCCTTTGTATATCCTTAGTCAGCTGAACCTGCTGTTGTAAATCATGAAATTGTTCCTCTAATGAGAGAAGGGCAGAAGACGGACCGGGTGGTCGCTGAAAACTGGTGGGTAGTTCTGCAGCAGCAGGAGCCATAACCCGGGGGGAATAGTATTGGGCAGCCTCTTCTGCTAATTGTGACCAATCAACTTCCTGGCCACTGGAAAGGTTAGGGTAAATAGGGCGGTATGGAGGAGGGGCCGTGGCGGCGCCATTTTGAGGACCCTCGTGGTCTCCAGACAAAGGGAGTGTCGGCACATCGCCATCTTGAATAGGCTCTGGGATCTCAAGGACAACAGAGCTGGGAGGGCTGGGTGCCTTAGATAAGACTGGTGGTGGCGGAGTACAATTGCGGGAGGCAGCTAACGCAGCCTCACCCTGGGCAAGCGTCTCCGCGAGCTGGGGATCTGCGTGACGTTGTGCCAGCAGCTCAGAGATTAAAGTCCAATATGAAAAAGCAGTTACAGGAACCCTTTTTGGACCAAAAACTTTATAATAGTCCTTAAGAGCATCTCCTACTCTATTCCACCTGTTTAAATTAATCGTACCCTCTAGGGGGAACCATGGACACACTGAATGTATGAACTGAAAATACTTTATTAGTTCTTTTGTCTTAACCTTGATCCCTCTAATCTTGAGAGCCTCCCTGAGGCCAGTCACGAACAATTCGTGCTCACTGAGTGCTTGTCCCATGTTAATGCCGTTCACCTACCGTGATTCAGGCGAGACGTAAGGTGGCCGTCTGCACAGATCACAGGAACAATGTCCTTGAATCAGTCACGCTGGCCAGCGCTTTACTCCTGTGAACGGTCCCGCGTCGTTATCCCTCGTGCCAGGTGAGGTCCCTTCGTGGTCGCCACTTGATCCGGCCTGCGGATCAATCTATGGGTCTCAACCTGGAGAGGGGATCGGGGATGGGGGCAGGACAAGAGAAAAGAGAGATGGAGACAGGATGAGATTCCAATCGAGTCTCGTTTATTTTCAAAATGGTTACAACTTATATAGGGTGGGGGCGGGCCATAGGCAGGAAGAAGGCTTAATCTGATAGGTCATCATCATATCCGGATATATGATGTAAGCAGGAGAGGATTATGGGTAATGTAGGCAGGCTGAAACAGGAAGTTTGCTTGTCATGTGCATTGCAGGCAAGGGGAGGATCATGGGAAATGTAGGCTGACACACAAAATGCCCTCAGGCAGGAGGGGCAGGGCAGCAGCAGCTATTCAAAACCGCTCCCTACATGTAGGAGCATTAATTTATCCTCTTCCCCCACTTGAGTAAATGTTAGAAGCCTGCATGTGACCCTATGTCAGCTCATGAAGTACACATTTACTGTGCCCTTTCCCAGATGTATAAACTGAGACCTAGAAATATTCAGTGGCTTTCCAGAACCCTATGCAGGATTCAGCTGAAGCAGAATTCTCAAAGTCGGATTCCCAACCAGCAGCAGTGGGAATGTCTGGAAATGCAGATTCTCCAGGCTGGTGGTATGCAGCTCAGTGATACTGCGCTTAGCATGTGCAAGGCTCTGGATTCAATCCTTAGCACCAGGAAGGGCAAGGGGAGGAAGAAGAAGAAAATAAATGCAAACTTCTTGCTGAGTCAAAAATTGGTGAGTCACAATCCAGCAAGTCATGCCACTAGCCCCATAACAGATGCTCAAATGTAGCTCAATTGCCTGGATCCCTGGGCCAAGGCCTGTGCTCTAGCCATACATGCAGATGAATGTTGTGTGCACCTTTATCACAAGGATAGTATTCTCTCCTCCGAGAAGTGTTCAATCGGACAGCCTGTGTCTGTCTACCAAGGTCACCCTGCCCTGCTCCTCACCACAGCTCCTCAGCTCCCCTCTCGTGCTGATGCTGTTCTCTGCCCTTTCTCAGCCAAGCTTTAAGAAATGTCTTCCACAGCCCTTGTTCACATATCTCACAGCCTCTCACCCAAAACAACAGTATCGGCATACTCCTGGTTGCCACATTGATTGGCTTCTTGGTCCTTTTTTTTTTTTTAGGAGACTGTTCTGTAGCACTTCACAATGTCCCTTAATCCCTTGTGACAGAAGCCTACCTGGACCTTCACCCCCAGAATCCCTCCTTCAGCTTCCTCTGGAAGTTCTTCCCCTTCTCTGAACGATTGGGTTCCCTGAGCTCCCAACCTACATGTTTCTTATTCTCTCCTCCATACCTTGTTGCTCTTGAATTTTTTTCTTATTCACTACCAGGCCTTCAGTTGCCACCTTATACTGCCAGGAATTCTGCTGAGCTCCCAAGAATGGAGTCTTTCCAAAGTTTTTTTCATCCTCAAGAAACCACAAGGGAAATGAGTGGGTTATTACTCCAGTTTGACCCTTGGGGCCCAGCTAGAGCACAGTGATGGGGTAACAGGGGAGGCACAGCTGCAGAATGGCCTATAGTTGCAACAAAGAGAACACCTGATTCCTGAAAACTAAGAATTTGGCCTCTGGATAAATGAGGTGGTTAGGGCTGGGTGTGATGATGCATGGTTGTAATCTCAGCACCAAGAGGCTAAGGCAGGAGGACTGCCAAGAGTTCAAGGATAGCCTGGCTACAGAGTGAATTCAAGGCCAGCCTGGACTGTGTAGCAAGAACTTGTCTTTAAAAAAAGGTGGCTAGTAACAAAGAGCTGAAGGGGCTTTGAGTAGCTAGGAATGCTGTTATGCATCCTAAAACGTGAGATGTGAGGACTTGATTTATTGTATTTAGTTTACTTGTATTTGTATTTAGTTGTATTTAGTTTACTCATCCCTTCAAAGTGCTACCAAAAGCAAACACAGAAATGGTCCTACCCTATGGGGGCAGATAACAAAGTAACATGGTGCAAGGGAGGAAGATAAAGTAACAAAATGGGATACATATAACCCATGGGGACAAAGAAGAGACAAATGAGAAATCTGAGGATCCTCGTGGGAGCCAGGAGCAAGAAGGAACAGACCCAAGTCTTGCCTAGCTCCATCTGCCCGTTCTCTGTTTGGGTCATGGTGAAGGGCAGGAAATAGTCCCACTTTTCAGGCACTTTAGCCCTTATCTATCTGGTGTCCCTGGGTTTCCCTCTCTTTCCCTGCCCCCCCCCCCTTTGTTTTTGTTTTTTGAAACAGGGTCTCCCTATGCAGTTCAGGCTGACCCATTCACTATGTAGCCCAGGCTGATCTTGATCTCTCAGCAGCCACCACGCCTGGGGCGGGCGATGGGGGAGGGGGGGATTGGCTTATCCACTGTGCTCTCTTATCCTGTGTTGTGATCAGATTGGCTTGGGCCTTGACCCCATGCAGCCGCGGCACCCCGCACTGGTCAGGTATCTTAATGGGTTCGGAGAGCTGTAAGACAAGGGACTATGAAGGCTGACCCAAGCCAAGGGGGGAGGGGAGAGCCTGGGCCCAGGATCCCCGGCTTCCCCAAGGAGACTGCTCATCTCTACTCTAGACATTATGTCTCGTTAAAAGGTACGACGTGATGCATCTACGGTAATATGTGGTGAGTGACCACACCAGGCGGCTCAGCTGAATGACAACTACCTGTGTCTGGCAGCAGTCAGTTAAAATACACAGGTACAGGAGGTGAGGATGGCAGGTTGGGGACAGCAGAACAGCATGTAGTCAAGGCGTGTGTGAGGGCTTGCCCTGTGGGTCTAGGACGAACCACATTTCACTTAGGCTGAAGCCTCAGCCTCAAACTCTGCACGACGCAGTCCACGCCTGGACCTCTAGGACGTGACTCCGCTGGAAGCACGAGGCAGGGGGAACCGGCTGCGCGGGCGGAGGTGGGGGTCGGGCCCAGGATCCGCTGGCGCAAGCAGGGGGCACCCACGTCAGGCCTTACCAGGAGGACACCAAGCAATTCCCTCCGTGGTCCTGCCCCCAGAGCAATCAGCCAGTGCGCCCACCCCGATCTAGCCCGGTAGTTTAGGAGGCAGGGCGGCCTCCGGGATTCGGCTAATCGAGGGCCCGCGTTCGAATTCGCGTCCTGGTGCGCCCAATCATAAGACGCCTTTGTGGGTGGGGCAGAGGGCGGGGTCCTTGGCTGGCCAACTGGAGTGCCCAGATCATTTGAAAACGAGGCGGGGGCGGGCGGCGGGCGGCGTTTGCGCTTGCGCTGGGTTTGGCGGCTGCGGGCTGGAGCTGTAGGAGGGCGCGGGCGCGGGCGCACTCGCAAGGGGGTTTGCACCGAGGTACTGGCAGCGCGGCGATGGGGAGCGGCGGCGGTGAGTACCGGCAGGCCCCAAGCAGAGTGAGGTCGCGTGGGGCCGAGGCCCGTGGAAGTTAGGCCCGGGCCTCTGCCACCACAGCGCAAGGCAGTGCGGGACGCCCAGCCTGATTTAAATGCCCACGGCTTCTTCTTGCCGGTATTCTGCAGAGCAAACTATAGTGACTTCTTCGTGGAGTCAGGTGCCTGCGGGACAAGTGGCGAGGATGCACCCTGCGCCACTCACCAGATGCCCACTCCAGCGATCACATCTGGGGGTCCTGGCGCGCTGGAGGGCTGGATCACGAGACATACAATTCACTTGTTATCTGTTCTAGAGCGAGGGAATGAGGAAATTTTTATGGTAACATCCGTATAATCTTTGCAAATGTTTCGCCCTGGGTTTATGTCTGGCTTTGAAGTACGTTTCCTTGCTGGCAGGAAGACCTAAATTGAAGGGAAGCAGCTCCTCGGACAACCTGGGAAGGGATTCACATAGACCGAAAAGCAGTCACTTTCCTCAGAACAGTAAAGATGAGCAAAAAGACGTCAACTTGTAGATGAAGAAACAGGATCTCAAGGTTCCTATCAGAGGACTTTCTTTTTCCCAAGAAATAAGAGATAAAGCTATCTATCTGCCTAGAATGAGGAAGGGGCTGCTGGAGGAGTTGGAACCACTTTGCTGAGTGCAGAGGGCTTGACCTTTAATGTTGGCACCTCTGTGGGTTTAGGTCTTGTCATTGGGATTTGCACTGCCTTACTGGGTAGCCATCAACTCCTCTTTTTACAAAGAAGGTCACTGAAACTCAGGGGCTGTGCAGCCCTGACATCTGCCGAATTGAGCCTCCAGGTCCTTTGCTTTCTTGCAGGGCCAGCCCTCCTAATTGGGGTCCAAAAGCAGATTCTTCAAGCTTGTACGGCATTATTGAACACTATGCTTTTTTATCATGTGAAGCAAAGATAACAGCCAGGATCTTAAGGGTTTTCTTAAGAATGGCTGCATTTTCCCCCTTCTTGATTGTCATGTAGACTCTGGATCAGAAAATTACCAATAGCCAAGTTACCGGGTAACTGCTCTTCACAATGAATATTAAATACTGAACAAATTATGATGTCTTCCAACGTTCATATACATTATTTAATCTTTGGGACAAGTCAGCTCCTTTTGTGGTACAGGGGTAGTAACCATTAAATCATTTTCAGGTATAAGTTTTCACCAAGACTTCTGAGTTTTTTTTTTTTTTTTTTTAAGTGATCCACTGTAGGTGTGCCAAGTGTTTCTGTTACCCTACCAAGCGAAGAATAAGGAAGAGACCCCAAAACCTGTCTATCTTGAGTCTACCAGAAGATGCGCTCTTTCATATTCTAAAGTGGCTTTCTGTTGGAGACATCCTTGCTGTCCGAGCTGTAAGTCACCAGATGAAAGCAATACCAGCGCTGGCATTGATTATATCATCAAGGCCTCAGAATCTTATATGTCACAACAAAACCTTAGCTACAAAGAGGGCAAAGGAAACAAGGTGATATTGTTGATAGATAATTGAAGATGTTCTAATTATAGGACAGCATGCTGACTTACTCATTATAGTGTTTATTTTAACAGAGAAAGTATCCTTTTTTGTTTGTTTGTTTGTTTCTTTGTTTGTTTGTTTTTTGGTACCAGGGATTGAACTCATGATCTCATGCTTGGCAGGCAGGTGTTTATGCCGCTGAGCTAAATCCCCAGCCTGAGAAAGTATCCTTTTATGACAGTAAAGTTTGTGTCCCTTAAGACATATGATAGACTGGGAATGGTGGTGCACACCTATACTCCCATCATCTAGGAGGGTGAATCAGGAGAACTTCAAGTTTGAGACCTGCTTAGGACCTAGTGAGACCCTGTCTCAAAGAGCAAAAAAAATGTATTGCAAAAAATTCTTGAGGATAAATCCCATGTAACATGCAATGCTGAAGTGAACTGGAGGAATTGTTTTGGAACCACACCCTCACTTTGGTGATTTATCCTGGGTTATGCACCAAATTGGTAGGAAATCTCCAATAAGAACCCATTTCCTGGCACCCGAGACTGCCTCCATTATATTTATGATACACTCATGGAACTCATCAGGTTCTTGATTCCCAATAACAATGACAACTTTTGTCATTTAAAATGTTCACCTGTGCTCAGGGTCCTATTCTGAGTGTTTCCTGTGCAGCAGCTGCTGGTCCTACCTGAGGCTACCACCACAGATGTCAGTTTTTTCCTTGAGTCCCTGTGACCTCCACACTCCAGGTAGTGTGCCCACTAGCAAGGGCCTAGGCAGAGAAACACAAGACCACTCTCCTGCCTGTTTCCTTTTAGAGTTGGTTTCCCCAATTCTTTGCAGAGGTTCCACTGTACTTTTTCTCAGTCTAGATGCTTATTCTTTTCTTCTGGGACCATTGTCTTTCTCCTTTTAGAACCTCGGAGAAATTCTTTTCTGAGCTGTGTTGTCTATGCAATATATGTCTGTCTTTGATATATGGAGACTGAATATTTTACTGCTTGAGGTTGGGCAGGAGACAAGATGCCCTGAATCTATGATGTTCTATTTTCAAGAGCCTCTAGGAGCAGGGTTTGGGGAGCAGTCTTTCAGTAATCCCCACTTGGTTTCCATTGCTTTGCAGGTAAACTCCCAACTGAAGTACTTGGTGGATAACCATGCCAGTGTTTGGGCAAGTGCTAGCTTCCAGGAGCTGTGGCCTTCTCCAAAGAACCTGAAGCTCTTCGAAAGGTATCGCTGAACTCTGAAAAACAGATGGCTTGATTTTTTTTTTTTCCCCTGCCTTTCGTCCCTCTTTTGTCTGTGCCCCAAAGCCTGATTCAGAAACTTTTATTGTTGCTGTTTCCCAGGTTATTCACTCATATCCCCAGGAGTGAGTGACCCAGGATTATAGACCTAATCCATAACCGTACCCCATCCAGCAGCCCATGTTATCACCGTTCCGCCGTGCCTGTTATGCTTTTAGAAGGTCTCCCTTGGGCTGTTGCCTATTCCCCTTGACTCAAATGTGAGTCACTTGCCAGTGGAAGCTTTACTCAGCTTTCTTTTACCACCAATTTTCCTACAGTAGGCTTACAGTCCTGTTGCATTTCGCCCACTGGGTGGCCTCACCCACTTGGAGTCATTTCCCCAAAGAGAAAGCTGGAGAGGATACAAGGCCTGCAATCTATGAGCCCAAGGGCCACAACCAGGCCCACTAAGCAAGAGCACTAATGGTTCTAGAGCCTGCTCTTGGAACCAGGGGGTTCAGTTTGTGCCTTCTCATTTACCAAACTGAGAAAACATAATTCAGGAAGGAATCTTTCTAACTATAGTTTGCTTGGGCCTCATCCACTTGAGCTGCCAGAGATCTAGGTAGCTCCTAGAAGTGTACTGTGACCATTTTGCTGTGCCTGTACTTGAACTGCTTCTGGATAAAATATGCATATTTCTTAGAAATATAATCTATGCACCAAATAGGTACCTCATTTATAGTGATTTTTTTTAGTATATTCAAATTATGCAAATATCACCACTAATTTTAGAACATCCTTAGCATTCAAGAGAAATCTTGTACTTGTGACTGTCACTACCTGCCCCTTGCATGTACATTTTCCACATAACTCTTGAAGCCCTAGACAACCCTCAATTTATTTTGTCTCTGGATTTATCTATTCTAGATATGTTGTGTAAATGGGATGATACTATATGGAACTGGCTTCTTTCACAGAGCATATTTTCAAGGTTTATTCAAGTCATAGAATGTAATGGATAGGGGGCTGGGGATTTAGCTCAGTGGCATAAGTGCCTGCCTTACAAGCAGGCAATCGTGAGTTCGATCCCTGGTACCAATAAAAACGAAAAAGACAAAAAAAAAAAAAAAAAAAAAATGTAATGGATAACTGATAGTTCTGTTGCATGAAGATTTTTTTCAATTCATAAAACAAATATCCCAGCTTCCAATGCTTTGGTATATAACCTTTATGGCATTAAATCCTGATGTTTGTGTTCTTAATGTTTTAGGGCTGCTGAAAAGGGAAATTTTGAAGCTGCCGTGAAGCTTGGCATAGCCTACCTCTACAATGAAGGCCGTAAGTCACAACCCCCTTACTATTGACACTTTACACAAGAACCTGCCTTTGACCTTTTTGAGATGTGTACCCAGTATGAGCAATTGAGATTTTAGAGTCAGGGTCTTGCTATGTAGTTTAGGCTGATATTGAATTCTCTTATATAACCCAGGCTGGCCTCAAATTTATAGTAGTCCTCTTGCCTCATCCTCCTAAGTGCTAGCATTACAGGTGTGTGCTGTCATGCTCAGCTTTATGAGCTATTTAGGTAACTCTTCGTGCTATATCTGATGGTCTGCTTTACTGTCACCTCATGATAGCTTATGCCATGAGATGCTTTGTGAGGGGAAATCCATCAATATTTTGACCATAGTTCCCAGAGAGTCATCTCTTGTTTTAGCAAATCCTAAGATTGAATAGAATCTCAGAATGGGAGCTACTTGGACAAGCTGGGCTCCCACCTTCAGTCTAACACTGAGGTCCACCTGTAGACATGGCTTTTCTGTGGTCTGTGGTCTGTGGAACTTTGAGGCAGAGGTACATGCCTGATTCCATAGGAATCAGAAATATAAGAAACTGTGGTTCAATGTAGAAGGCAGGTCAAAGCCAGTCTCATGGTTAGATTCCTCTGCACCCAAAGGCTAGGTGCTCTTCGAGAGATCCTTGTGAAGGCTCTCCTGCTTATCTGCTCAGCACCTCAAGAAATGAGTCCAGGGGCTGGGGATTTAGCTCAGCGGCATAAGCGCCTGCCTTGAAAGCAGGCAGTTGTGAGTTCAATCCCCGGTACCGATAAAAAGGAAAAAGACAAAAAAAAAAAAAAAAAAAAAAAAAAAAAGAAAGAAATGAGTCCACAGTCGTGTTAGCTCAGATTCGAATGCATATGATGATTGGATTATAGCCTTCCATTTTCTTGCCTCTGAAAGATCTGATATCTTGGGCTGGGGAATGTAGCTCAGTGCCAAGAGTGTTTCCATAGCATGCTTGGAGCCCTAGGTTCAATGCCTAGTATCACACCGGAGGAAAAACTTTAATGTTATTTGGGTACTTTATTCCCAGCTACTAGGGAGGCTGAGGCAAGAGTACTGAAAGTTCAAGACCAGCCCAGGCAAATCTTGTCTCAAAAAGTGATAGGGAGTGGGATATTGCTCAATAGTAGAGTATCTTGGATTCAATCCTCAGTACTGTCAAAAAAAAGTCTTAAAAATCTGGTTCCTTAGGGGCTGGGGATTTAGCTCAGCAGCATAAGCGCCTGCCTTTCAAGCAGGCAGTTGTGAGTTTGATCCCTGGTACTGATAAAAAGGAAAAAGACAAAAAAAAAATCTGATTCCTTCCTAGAGATATGCCTTGCTCTTGAATAGCTGACAAGATTTGTGCAAGTGATGGAGCCCTTGAGCAGCCCTCTCCTTCAGGGCCAGGAGAGATAAGATCCTGTGCCCATGCTTTCATCAGATGGCAATTCTCAGATTTCATTCATGTTACTACAGTTTACAGTTTAATGGACTTTTCGTGGTATTGGGTTTTTGGTTATTGTATTTTTTGGGTCTAACTAGGTTGCCCAGCTTGGTCTTGAACTTCTGAATTTCCTACCTCAGCATTGCAAGGAACTGAGATTATCAGCATATGCCCCCCTTGTCTGTTTTCCAGTAGTTTTTAATATATTTACAGAGTTATATATCCATTAAACTTACCTAATTTTAGAACCTTTTGATCCCTAAAAGACCCACTCTCCATTACCCCATTAGCTGGGGGTCAGGCAGCAGTTTCCTGCAGGAAGAAAGATGGGACTGGCTTTGTGGGGAGCACCTTCCCTTGATGTTAGAATCCATGCTTCCAGAAGGACTACAGCAGAGCCTGTGATCACAAAGACAACCTGAACCCAGATAGACTTAAACAGGGGAAGAAAGGAAAGATTCCCTAACCTAGAGGACTTTTCTTTCCTAAAACATGAGCAACTTTTCATAGTGGGTTTGAGCTTTTAGACTGTCCAGAAAATTGGGGAACTTTCTTGATCCCATCTCCCAAAGACATCCCTGGGTTCTCTTCTGTCTGTCCTGCAGTGTCTGTGTCTGATGAGGCCCGAGCAGAAGTGAATGGCCTGAAGGCCTCTCGCTTCTTCAGTCTGGCCGAGCGACTGAATGTGAGCACCTCGCCTTTTATCTGGCTTTTCATCCGCCCGCCTTGGTCTGTGTCTGGAAGCTGTTGCAAGGCTGTGGTCCATGAGAGTCTCAGGGCAGAGTGTCAGCTACAGAGAGTAAGTCCTGGTGAGGGGTAGCATCTGCGAGGCCCGCCACAACGTCTGGGGACATAGGAAAACCCTTGGGTAGACCCTTTTTACCATGTAAAGTTGGAACCCAGAGGAAATAGGGTGTAGAACATCAAGTATAGATGTAATGGAAAGATTGGGGCCTGGAGAGGATGGCAGAATTTTTGTTGAATGTGTTGGCAACTAGAAACTTGGGACTGAGGCCCCATAAAGCAGCCAGAGCTAAAGTCTGATATCAGGGCATGGTTTTATTCATGCAGGATTGAGGGGCTACAGGGGTGGGGAAGGTGCCCCCCAGCAGTTCTGTCCTGGAACTTAACACTTGTTTGTTTTTTCTTTCTTTTAGACTCATAGAGCATCCATACTGCATTGCTTAGGAAGAGTACTAAATCTTTTTGAGGTTAGTCAAGTTGTTCCCTGCACTTGGAATTTTTGCCTGGTTTGATACATTCTGGCTGGGATCCAGGAAGCATATGAGAAGCAGTGGGAGGCATCAAAGGTCAATGCAAACACAAAACCCTGCCCTGAGTGGCCACAAGAGGCTGGGCAGTGAATCCTGGTTCCATCATCACTACCAGAGAGTGGAGGTTATGTGACCTGATTCTTGAATAGTTGTGAGAATTAGATGGGACATGTTTGGAAAGAGGCATAGCAGAGCAAAGCTAGCAGAAACTGAGCAGATAGTGCTGACATGTTTGTGTGATAGCTCTATTAATAATGGACTTCATCTGCTAGGGGATTGGATTATCTACTCTTTATATTTTATTAAGCTTTATGACCACAATGAACCCACTCTGCAGTAGCTTTAGAGAAGATCATAACTTCTCAAGAAAGGAATCCTATGGGAGAATGAGGAGGTGGAGGAGAGCCCAGAGACCAATTGTACTGTCCAGGCTCAGGGCATTTCCTTTGGTAGCAAGAATGAAGGACAGGCTTTCCGTGACCCAGAGTGGAATGAGGGAATCTGCAAGCCAAACCCATACATGAATCTCCACAAAAAGCAGAGTCCCTGAGGCCGGAGGTCCGAGTCTGCACTCTTCCTTGGTTGTCAAGTGGTGTATCTTTAGAGAAGTCATTTCTAATTTGATTTAGTTAACATGTCAGTTATCACAGAGAGTTTGATTGCTTAGGAATGTGGGAGGAGGGATGAAGGAGACTGGTAGAATGAATTAAACGTTGAGACAAAGATAAGAAAACCAGCTGTGTTTCACCTTGCTCTAGGATGAAGAGAAAAAGAGGCAGGCCCGTGACCTGTTTGAAGAGTCTGCTCATCAGGGATGTTTGGCCAGCTCGTACCTCCTCTGGGAAAGTGACAGAAAGACAGATGTGAGTGGACCAAGGTTTGGGGAGAGGAGGAATCATGTTGGCCAAAGGCACAGTCTCAAAACTGCCCTTGGGATGCGACTCTTAGCAAAAGGAAGGATCCTCTCACAGCTTCTGGAAGCTACTGGACAGCAGGCTGCTGTCAGTATCCTCAAAATGCCCACCATTGTTTGGAGATAAACGCTAGGGACCCAGTGCGGTCAGGCACCTTCTGGGGATGGAAGAGGGGACATTTAAGGACTCCATAGGTCATTTCTGAATTCGTCTGACGACACAAAACTATAAAGGCAACTTTTTCTTGTTGACAGATGTCAGATCCTGGACGTTGCCTTCATAGCTTCCGGAAACTCAGGGACTACGCTGCCAAAGGCTGCTGGGAAGCACAGGTGACAAGGGAAACTGGCCTTTCTTCTTAAAACTTTGGGGTAGGACTACCTGGGCTTAAAAAAGGAGACTGAGGAATGTGATGAGATTGGTCCAGGGCTGGAGTTTAATCTTTTACTTCTTTGCTTTTTTTTTTAGGCAGGGGGAAGACAGGGTCTTGCTATGTAGTTTATATTAGCCTTGAATTCACTATGTGGTACAAACTGGCCTCAGATTTGCAACAATTTTCCTGCCTCTGCCTCCCGAGTACTGGGATTACAGGCATGTGCCCACCTGGAGCTGAATCTTAAAGGAGTTTAGCTCTTCAGTATGCAGGGAGAAGACCTCAGAAGTGCCTCATTCATTTCTGCTCATGGCCAGTCTTGCTTGTGCTAATGGGGTATACCTGCTGCCAGAATGTATTCCACCACTCTCGAAAGTTCTCCTATAACTGGGCATGGTGGCACACATCTATAATCCTAGCACTCAGGAAGCTGGGGCAACAGGATCATTGTAAGTTTGAGACCAGCGTGGGCTACTTCAAGGTCAGTCTGAACTGCATAGTGGGACCTTGTATCAAAAAGAAAAAAAAAGTTGTCCTATAGATAATGCTTGTCCTGACAGTGAAAGTCCAAGCTATCAGAAAGCAGAGGCACATGAAGTGCTTTACTGTTCTTGTGAGCAGCTAGCCCTGCTGAAGTCATTTAGCTAGGAAATCAAGGATTTGTTGTTCTCCTTTATCAGACCATCTCCCTTCGCACCTGCAAAGAAGCTTCAGGACAAATAAGTAAGCATCCCTCTGTCTTGCAAAACATGATGAAGGAGACTGGTAGAAGTGTGAACTAGAAGTGTGATAGAAAGTCATCTAGATTAACATGCTAGGGAAGAAATCATAAATCAATAGATGATTGGGTATGGTGGTGCATGCCTGTAAGCCTAGTACTCGGGAAGCTGAGAGAGAAGGATCATTGCAAGTTCAAGGACAGTCTGTGCTACAAAATGAATTCAAGGCCTGCCTGAACTGCATAATGAAACCTTGTCTCAAAAAGAAAAAAAAAAAAAAAGAACAAATAGTTAATATATGTGTCATAAAAACTTCTGTATTCCTATCCAAAAAGATTTACAAGGAATACTACATTTACAAGAAGTGTACTTCTAGCAAGCTGAAAGTAATCAGTAATAATTAAGAGCCTCACGAATAATCAGAGGGCCTTGATAGATTCTCAAAAAAAGGAGAAATAAATACAACTGGTTAAAAAGCAGAGCAAAGCCAGGTGTAGTGGTATGCATCTAAAATCGTAGCCCTCAGGAGGCTGAAGCAAATGGATCACTGCAAGTTTGAGGCCAGCCTGAGTTACACAATGAGTTCAAAGTCAGCCTCAAATACATAGCAAGACCTTGTCTCAAAAAAGTTGGGTGTGGTGGTACATACCTGTTATCCCAGCACTTGTAGGAGGCTGACTGATGCAGGAGCATCACTGAGGGTTCAAGGCCGTCCTGGGCTATAGAATGAAGTCAAGACCAGCCCAAACTGCATAGTTAAACACTGTCTCAAAAAGACATGGCTCAGCAGCGCAAGTGCCTACAAGGTCCTGAGTTTGATTCCTGGTACCAAAAAAAAAAAAAAAAAAAAACAAAACCCAAAAAACAAAATAGAAACAACTCACCTTTAAATGAGATATTTGGAGTTGATTACATTAGCTAATTGATTTTCTTTGTGTTTTTTTTGCGAAGATAGCTAAGTTTTTTTGCGGGGGGCAGGGGGGGGGTACAGGGGATTGAATTCACAACCTCACATTTCCTAAGAAGGCACTTATGCCACTGAGCTAAACCCCGGCCCTAATAATTCTTGACAATATATATTTTTAATGATAAACTTTTGCTGATGAAGATAAAATACATAATTAAAATATATATACTTTTTGCTGGTGAAGATAAAATATATCACTAAAATATATTTTAATGATAAATTTTTGCTGGTCTGTGAGTGGTATAGAAATCAGCACAAGGCTTTCAGAAAGCACTCAGTGGGTATAGCAAAGCCTTTTCCTGTGGACTCCCTGGGTAATAACATAACAAAAGATGAGCAACAAAAATACCCTTAGTGGGAAGATAGATGGAATATGCCTCTAAATGTTTAAGGTGCCTGTAGATGTTTAATTATCTATAGAAAACTTATGTTATTGTTAGGCAAAGAGAAGATAAGTATGTAAGTGGATCCAGATGCATGTAAATGTACATATGTGCATATAGCACATATATGGTAGTATATATGTGTTATACATAAATGTAGAAGAAAATGTATAAAAATGGTTGACAGTGACCACCTGTCTTAAAGGTTGCTTGGCAGGTGAGTGCAAGTGTTGGCCCAAAGGTCTATCACGTACCATTTCATGCAAAAGGAAACTGGAGAGGTTTCCAGTTTGCCTGTGGTCGCACACAGGTCCAGTTTGTGGTTTGGTTTGGGGTGGTGTGGTTTTTTGGTTGTTGCTTTGTTGTTTTTTTTTGTTTTGTTTTGTTCTGTTTGTTTGTTTTCCTTTTTAGACATAGTCTCTCTATATAGTTGAAGCTGGCCTTGAACTCATTATGTAACCTAGACTGGCCTCCCACTCACAATGATTCTCCTGCCTCAGCCTCCTGAGTGCTAGGATTATCTACATACACCATCATGCCTGGCCTTTGCTTTTGTTTTTTTGGCACAAGGCTTCACTATGTTATTCAGGCTGGCCTTGAACTCACCTTGTAGCCCAGGCTGGCCTTAAACATGTGGCATTCCTCTTACCTGAGCTTCCCAAGTGCTGGGATTACACACATGTACCACCATGTCTCTCTTGTGTCCAGATTTTAAAGCTAGATAATCTGAGCTCCCAGCCAGTTCTTTTTTGTTGTTGTTCTTGGTTTTATTTTGTGATGCTGGGAATCAAATCCAGTGCATAGCATGTGCTAGGCAAGAGCTTTACTACTAAGCTACATCCTTACCCTTCTTACTTTGAAACAGGGTCAGTTCCCCAAGCTGGCCTCAAACTTGAGGTCTTCCTGCCTTAACCTTCCCAGCAGCTGAAATTACAGGCATGTGTCACCATACCTGCCTCCCACCTAGCTCTTTCTACTTTGTGGTACATCCTTCCCTGGAGTGTCTTACTTTCACACTGGACTTGGACAGTAACAAGTTATTCACAATGTGAGCAGAAGACTTAAATTCCCCGAGAACCTGTACTAGGGCGAGAAGACAACTCATCCTCCTTTCATTCCTTTAAAAAATTTATCATGTGCTATATTACTTATTCAAAAAAATATTAGCCATACTGTTCCAGAAGGTTGAGAAAGCTTAAGTAGGCAAGTATGTACACTTGTGTTTTCTACCTGAAGTGTTCTTCCTTTTGGAAGTAGACGATCTCATGTCTTTTTGTTCTCAGTTGGCTTTAGCCAAAGCCTGTGCAAATGGAAACCAGCTTGGACTAGAAGCAAAAGCCTGCAGTGAGGTAGTCTGCCAGTTGTTCCAGGCCTCCCAAGCTGTCAATAAGCAGCAGGTCTTCTCTGTGCAGAAAGGACTCAACGACACAATGAGGTGAGACATTCAAGAACCAGAAGGTAGCCCAGCATGGTGCAAGTGGGAGGCCAGCCGTGGGTTCTGTCTCTAATACAGCAAAAGAATAAGCCCAAGGGTCCAAAGCTGTGGCAGAGCAATACCTAAGTCACCTTCGGAGGGCAGTGTGATATTTCACTAACAACTTAGTAGGATTCCTCCATTCTTGTGTGTGCATGTCTAAAACCAGTAATGACTAAGTGTTCAGGACTCTGAGGAATCAATATCCTTGCCACATTATCTTTTTTAAGCCATAGAACACCTTAAAGCATTCTTTCAAAAATGATGGAATGCTTACGCTCAGTTTCTGATGGTGAAACACTACATTTTTGTGGGAATGGGGGGCTTGAAATTAATTCCACAGTCTTGTACAGGTTGAGTTACTAACCCTAAGACCCTACAACATTTTTCGTAACAGCTTATCTTTACAAGCATCAGTATGCTTTGTGAAACTCAGTGACTGACTAGTCCCGGCTGGACCTGGGAAGCTCTGTCCCCTATAATATCTGCTATGACACTTGGTGTGATCTGCATCTTCCTGCAGGGGCTCCAAGGTTAGCAGAAAACAGTTTCACACTAAATCACAGAACATGTTAAAGAGTAAAATGGAAAATGTGAATGAATTTTTTAAACTTGCACATGAGATATCAAATATGTTTTGGATTTATATTGCATAGCCTGTGGCTCCAAGAAAATACTGCCTAGCACCTAATAAACTTATAGTAAACAGAGCAGTTAGCATTTATTTTTTTAAAAATGATTGTCCCTGTAAGAGTTCTGATTTCTTACACACATATACTTGTATTCTGACACCTCTGCTCCCATGGTAATGCCCACAACCGGAGTCCCCTTGCATCCTGGGTGTGTAATTGGAAATCCTCCCATCTGGCCCCCATCTGTCTCACCTCTTCAATTAAAAGGAATAATGCCATCTAGTTCTCTTAGTCTGCAGTTTGTTCATTTTTTTTTTTTGATGTTTTAATTGTTTTTAAAATTGTTATTCATAGCCAGGCATGATAGCACAAATCTATAATTCCAAAAGTCCCAAGTCAGGAAAATCTAAGCTTGAACCAAGTCTAGTGAATTTAGTAATTTTTTAGTAAGATCGCTTCTCAAAATTAAAAAATAAAAAAATGGACTGGGGATATAGCTCAGTGCAAAGGCTCTGGGTTTAATCCCCAGTTATTTGTTTATGTCCATGTAGGGTTTAAGCATAAATTTTTTTAGTGTGTGTTTTTTTTTTTTTGAGACAGGGTCTCGCTGTGTAGTTCAGGCTCACCTTGAGCTCACTTTGTAGCTCATACTGGTCTCGAATTTGCAAGGATCCTCCTGCCTCAGCCTCCCAAGTGCTGGGATTACAGGTGTGAGCCACCACACCTGGCTCAGATTTAAGCATAAATTTAACCATTTTAAAGTAGTTTGATCGGGCCGGGGATATATAGCTCAGTGGCATAAGCACCTGCCTGGCAAATGTGAGGTCATGAGTTTGATCCCTGGTACCAAAAATAAAATAAAGTAGTCTGATTGAGAAGTCAGATTATTAAGCTCCTTAGGCTGTTCAGAGTCCTGGCAGGTTTAAACACACACACAATCTTGCATGCTTTTCCTCTTAGGAATAAGTAGAGGCTTGTCTGACCCCACTCACCTATCAGTCCCTCACTTATGCTATCTCCTTCCTTCCCACCACTTCTGAATATACTTCTATCTTCTACCCTGGACCCTGTCTCTCTTGTCTCCTGCAGAGTCTTTCATTATCACTATTCTTTTTTCTCCCTGCTTTTAAGGAAAGTGTCCCCTTTGTTCAGAAAGATGTTAACCATATTTGAATATTCTTGCAGCATTCTCTTGGTTGTTTGTGGCCCAGATCCTTGGGTTTAGCCCTCTGGTAGAGAGGAACCACATCTGTCAGTCCTCAGGTATCAGTCAGGTTGCTGAGTTAGACCAGCAGCACTCTAGTCCAGGGTCTCAGTGCTTGCTGTAGTGGGATTTTTGGCTCTTTGATTTCTTGCAGAATGCTGTTACAAATGAGGGGGTAAGGGAGGATAGGGAAATGGGAAAAAAAAGAATCAAGTTGTATCATACAGGTATAAATTCTCTATGATTCACTTGATCATTATATATACCTAAAATGTACCAGTAAAATCTGGTTGGAAACTGGAAAATGAATGAATGAATGTTTTAAGTAACCTGGGTGGCATTCTTTCCACAGGTACATTCTGGTTGACTGGCTGGTAGAAGTTGCCACTATGAAGGACTTTACGAGCCTGTGCCTTCATCTGACAGTGGAGTGTGTGGACCGGTACCTAAGGAGGAGGCTGGTGCCCCGGTACAAGCTCCAGCTGCTGGGCATCGCCTGCATGGTTATCTGTACTCGGTGAGAGGCCTATTGGTCCAGCCAGCAGGGCTCATGTTTGAATGTGTCGGCTCTTCTTGGAAGTCACTGTCCTTGCTGTGCTAGTGGCTAGTTTGTAAGGGAAATAAATCTTAAGGATCCCATCTAGCTCACAGGTGGGGATAGCAGAATTGACTCTTTGTGTGGCCATTATGCAGGTACTTGTGTCGAGGCAGCTTATCTCAATATATGGTTTCAAATCTCAGAGCATGAACTCAAACAGGTGCAGTCTGAACTACACTTTCCCTGGCTCCTGAGGGGATGGTGCCAAGGAGGGACACAGTTAACTGTGTTTCTCCTCTTTGGTCTTCAGAGAAGAGCCAGAGATACAGCTCAGCAGCTTTGCACTTGCCTGCCTAGCAAGTGCAAAGTTCAGAGTTCAATTTCTAGTACCAAAAATATCAGAAAAACAAACAAAAAACGAGTCCACAGAGAAAACTGTCTCTGAGGTTGGAGTTTTCTAGTTTTGCTAAACCAGCATAAGCCAACACTTCCAGTAGGAAGTACATTCCAGAAGCACTAACCTTGGCAGGGAGGCTTAGTGAGTAAGCAGTAGGTTTGGCTGTACTTGGCAGTGATGTTAACTACAGAGATTTATTTCTGTCTTGCATAGTAGACAAAGGATCTAAGGTCACTGGGATATTTTATTTCCAGAAGTCATGAAGGAACTGTGGTTCCCATCTCGCTCTCTGCCACCTCCCAATGGCTGCCTTTTTCCCCACGATGTGCCAAAGCTGCTGCATCCACTTTCCTAAGCAATTTAGTCACAGTTGCCATGTCTAGCCAAAACAGAAACTGTAACCCCTCTGGACGACTCTGTGCCAGCTCAAAGAAGCATAGTAACACAGAAGGGAATGAGGAATTTAAGGTCAGTGAACAGACCCTGCCATACCCAGAGCCCCCTTCCAGCACCCAGGTCTTCCAGCACCATACCAGGTGTTCTGACTGGAGATGCTGTTGAACAGGTGAGGCTGCTGCCTCCCTGCATGTAACAGCACAGTTACATCATCGCATTCTCAGACCCAGTTACTGGGCTGCAGACAAACAGATTGTAACTTCTGGAAATGGTTTTAAAGGCTGAGATGTGCAGCTCTGCTCTCAAGGTAGCACTACACCTATCTTCACTCGCCCATATCCCCCATCTCCACCTTAGACATCCCCTCTTTGGGGCATGTGTTACCTTTGTGCTGGGAGCTCTATTCCTTGTCCTTTCTGACCTATCAAGGCAATGATAAAATATGCAAACTCTAGAGACCCAGACAAGTAGCAGATAAACTGGCCATGATTCATTCTCACCAGGGAGATCATCTTAAAGGCCTCTGGAGGAGTAGGATGTTCCATGATGGTTGGTACTGTCAGATAGTAGTGTCCCAGGCACCCCCTATCTCAAGGACAATCAGAATTCCTGTGGCCAGCTGCCATGTTGCATACAGACTTTCAGATAACACCTAGGCCCTTCATCTCCAAATCTTGGGTCCAATGGCTCACTTATCTTTGAGTTTAAATTGTTTATACTCTAACTGATAGACACTGTCAAAAAATAGGGTGATACAAAGAATTTGAGCCTGGAAATAAAAAGTTCAAGACTAGCCTGGGCAATTATCAAGACCCTACCTCAAAATTTAAAACAAATTTTTGAGACAGGATTTTGCTGAGTTATCCAGGCTAGGCTTGAACTTGTAATTCTCTTGCCTTAGCCTACCAAGTGCTAGTTACAGACATGGGGTATGACTCCTGACATCAAAATAAAAAAAATTTTTTGAAGGGCTGGAGTTGTATCTCAGTTATGGAGTACTCACTTAACATATATAAAGCCCTGTGTTCAATCCTCAGTACTGCACTCAAAAATTAAAGTATAGTCTAGGAGTACCATTTAATAGTAGACAATTTGTCTAATGCATGCAAGGTCTTGGGTTTGATCTCTGGTAGCACCAAAAAACAGAAAAGTCAGGTGTGGTGGCACATGCATGTAGTCCCAGCATTCAGGAAGCTGAGGTAGGAAGATCACTGTAAGTTCAAGGCCAGCGTGCACTACATAGCAAAACCCTGTCTCAAAAAAAGAAAAAAAAAGCAAATCCTTGTCTCTAAAGTCATTAGGAAAACTGAAAGACAGAGTCATTCATGGAGTCTTTTGCAGAGATAGGTGTGTGTCTGATCAATAGCCATTTCTTCCCACTCTGCCTCTGTCCAGGCTCAAATCTTTTCTTTTCAGCATCTTCTGACCATCACTCTTTTTAAGGTTTCTTATTGACCACAGACAGCTAAGTTCATTGTATAACCTCTCTTTGGTACTAAAGCTCAAAGTCACAGTGCTTTCCTTACCTTGAGGCCTCCCTAGAGCCCTGGGCTGCCCAATTTGTATCCTGCCTAAGGAGATGGACTTGGAGCTAAGACCCCATCTCCATGCTCCAGGTTCATCAGTAAAGACATCTTGACAATTCGAGAGGCTGTGTGGCTCACAGACAACACCTATAAGTATGAGGACTTGGTGCGAATGATGGGAGAGATCATCTCTGCCCTGGAAGGGAAGATTCGAGTAAGTGGGGGTTTCTTCTTTTTGGTCCCAGGGATTAAACTCATGACCTAACGCTTGCCAGATAGGCACTTATGCCACTGAGCTAAATTCCCTGCCCAGTGGGGGTTTCTTTTGTCTTCCTGCATCGATCTTGGGGGGAGTAAGAAGACATCCAGCTTTTCTGCTCTGGAAGATCCTGTAGTGACCCAAGGTCAGCTGTCTGTGCCATGTCCAAAGCCATAAGCAAGAATCCATGGCTGCAGTGCATCATCACATACCTTGATACCCTGAATGAGGACCAAGTACCTGCTGGGCTGTTGCTTGTTGTGTCGTTAGTGGAAACAAGCCCACATCTACCTTCTCCTTTTATCCAGATCCCCACTGTGGTTGATTACAAAGAAGTCCTGCTGACACTGGTCCCCATGGCACCCAGAACTCAACACCTGTGCAGCTTCCTCTGTGAGCTCTCCCTACTGCACACCAGCCTGTCTGCCTACACCCCAGCCCACTTGGCCTCTGCGGCTCTGCTACTGGCCAGAGTGATGCATGGGCAGAGTAAGGAGTGGCCCCTCTAGGGGATTGCTGGTGGCAAGGAAAGTCTCCAAACAGGAGAAGGGTGGTGGGGCAACAAGAAATTTGTATCCTACACATAGTGGCATTTGACTGTAATCCCAGCACTTCTAAGAGGCTGAGATGAGTGGATTATAAGTTTGAGTCCAGCCTGAGCAACAGTGATTTACTGAGACCATGTCTAAAACTAAAATTTTCAAAAGGACTAGGGATATAACTCAATGTGAAGGTCCTAGGTTCAAGCCTTAGTATTATAGGCGGTAAAAGAAAGTGCTCATCCCTTCAAAATGGGCCAAAGGCAGCCTAGGATTGGGAGATGGGAGATGGAGATGGTGCTAGTTTAAGTATTTTCCAAATTTTTTACAATATGCATGTTCTATTTTGGGACTTGTCAAAGCCATTTTAAAGAACTGCAACTTTGAGATCCCAGAACATAACCTACAGATTCATGGAGTGGGACTGGTCAGACAACCATTGCATTCCTGGCCTGCTTTGCTCCCTAGCACAGCCCTGGACCACTCAACTGTGGGACCTCACTGGGTTCTCCTGTGAAGACCTTATGCCCTGTGTCTTGAACCTACATAAAAAGTGGTAAGTCTGAGACAGCAAGTCAAGGTGATGTATACCTGTAATCCACCCTCCCACCCCCTGCAAAGTAAAAGTCTAGAGGTGTAGCTCAGTAGGGTTTTTCAACCCCCAAGACATTTAAAAAAAAAAAAAAAAAAAAAGTAGATCTGTAAAGAAATGTGCGCTCTGGTCAGATCTTGCCAGGCACAGGCTCAAGTTCCATTCAGCCCTTTGTGTCTTCATGTGATAGCTCTCAGTGCACAGATCTTTCCTCGGTGAATTTCATACAAGAAACATCTTTCAAGTTGTCTTTTTAAAATTTCAGGGCCATGCTTCATATATTTTTGTCACAGTTCACAGAATTTCACACGTTTTTCACATGGAGCTTCTAATTGAGGAAGTAGAAGCCAGCAGGCAAGCAGACCCTCACTGCTAAGCGCCATCTGTGCCTGTCTGCTGCCCACCCCACTTGCTCATGCTTGTGCTCCAAACCTCCGTGTCCTGCTGCCTCCTTGTCCTCCCACCTTATCTTCTTGTGGGAGTGCTGAAAGGCCAGAATACATCCTAGACAAGGTGTCAGGTTGTAAAGGACCTAAAAGAAGAAGAAACTTGGTGGAGGATACTGGTATTTGGGAAGACCAGGGTTCCCCTAAAGAAAGTACTAAGGCAAAGGGGGGCAGTTTGTGCAGATCAACAGTACTGTTGGTTTGGGACATATGGGCTGAGTTTGCATCTGGCTATTACTGGCTCCTTAATTTCTCTTGAACTTTGCTTACAACTTGCTTCTCCATTTCTCAGCTCCCCTCATTCCCTTGGGCCTTCCTTCCAAATCCTACCGCTTTCTCCTGCAGGACACCCTGCCTCAGTCTGGTTTTCCTATCCCCTACGCCATCCTGAGAGACCAAGTAGTTCGGGCTTCCTGTTGCTCCTCAAATTCTCCCCCAAGGAGACTTAACCACTTCTAGATTTAGACCACATCTAACTCTTGATCTTTACCCCAGCCCAGATCACCTTGCCACGGTGTCTAAGCCAATTGCCCTCATTAGCCTGGTTGAGCATTCCCCTTCATGTTGTATTTGGTGGTTGGTGGTTGAGGCCTAGTCATACTGGCAGAGGCCAGGACCAGCCTATTTCTGCTTCTTTATCCCTGCAGCCTGGCAGCTTTTATGTGTGACACTTGACACTCTTTACACTTATACGCTGTAGGATCTGCTCCTGTCAGTACACCAGATGTGCACTCCAGGTGTTCCTCAAACTAGTTATGTTGACATTCAAGATTTAGTATCACAGTTGAGAACGTTTATTTATAAAGTCAGCTTTTTGTTTTTCTGAGACACAGTCTTGCTATGTAGTTTAGGCTGGCCTTGAACTTGCAGTGGTCCTCCTGTCTCAGCATCCCAAGTGTTGGGATTACAAGAGTATACCACTAAGCTCAGCAGAACTAAGACTTTCTTCCTTTTTTTTTTAGAATAGTTTTTTTAAAAAATTGCACAATTTGAGCTGGCTGGTGGCACACTCTTGTAATCCCAGCACTCAGGAGGCTGAAGCAGGAGGATTGTTGCAAGTTTGAGACCAGCCTGGGCTACAAAGTGAGCTCAGGGCCAACCTGAACTGCATAGAGACACCTTGTTTCAAAAAAGATTTAAAAATAAATAAATTGCACAACTTAATCGGCCTTTAGTGTATTCACAAAGTTGCACGGTCATCACAACCAATTTTATTTATTTATTTTTTTACCCTCGACTTGTAAGAATGGAATCACAACCAATTTTAGAACATTCTTACCACCCCCAAAGAAACTTCTTAGATATTACCTTCCAATTCTACCCAATTCCCTCAGCTCTTGGCAACCATTTACTGCGCTTTTTGTCTCTGAATTTGTCTGTTCTGGACAGTGTATATAAATGTAGCCATATGGTAAGTAGCCTTTTGTATCTAGCTTCTCTTACTGAGCATCATGTTTTCCATGTATATCAAACCTTCATTTTTTTTAACTGCTGTGTGAATGGACCACGTTTTTTTAATCCACTCAGCCACTGATGTATGTATGTTGTATGTTGTTTCCACCTTCTGGCTATTGTGCATGGTGATGCTATGAATGGTCTGCTGTGAGTTTCTGTGTGGACTGTGTTTTCATTTCTTAGGTGTAAACTCCTAGGAGTGGAATGACTGGATCATATGGATACTGTCTAACTGCTTGATGCACTGCCAAAATACTTTCCAGACTGACTACACCATTTTGTGTCCTCATCGTAGGGCAGGTTTTGAAAGCTCGTCCCCTCCACTTGAGGGAGCAAACTAAAACTGGGTTGGGGTGCCTCACATGTCTACCTCTGTGTCCATTTCCAGCTTCCATGACGACGCCCCCAAGGACTACCGGCAAGTCTCTCTGACTGCTGTGAAGCAACGATTTGAGGACAAGCGTTATGAGGAAATCAACCAAGAAGAGGTACCTCCCCCTCCCTGGCCCCGGGGTGTCTGAGTGGGGTGCAGGGTGGGATCAGGGTTCTTCAGCCTCACCCACAATGCCTCTTCCCTCTTGCTGTTTCTGGCTTCCCTAGGTGCTGAGCTACAGCCAGTTGTGTACAGCACTGGGAGTAAAAGAAAGCCCAGAGCCTGCATCTTTCCTCAGTTCAGGGGAGATCTGCCCTTTCCTCAGCTCTCCCTCTGAGAGGAGAACAAAGCGGTGAGTACCCCACCGCTACCCCCAGGGCCACTCTGTGGGTGTGCAGGGTAGTGCTGCAGCCAAGGGCTGGATTCTTTCACTGATGCCTCAGCTGTCTGAGTTCCACATGGGTGAACTGCTCTTGATCCCAGGCAGCTTGACCCTGGATGTATTCTTGAGCTCCACTGCCTTCAGCTCTCCTTTTTCAGAGGTGCCTGTCCCTTTTGCTTTATCCTGGTTCCCTTTGAGGGAAAATGGTTCTGAGCACAGTGGATCCTGACTTAGGCCCTGGCCTTGCCTGTGCTATCCCGAGGCAGTTTCCTCCATGGAGGCTGCTGTCACTCCTAACACTTGAGTTGCAGCCTGATTAACTTCTCTCCTTCCTCTTGTGTCCTCCCTCTTTTCCTGTGTGTATTCCTGCTTATTCCTATCACATGTGCTCTTTTTCTTTTTGGGGGGCTGAGGGGAGGATTGTGGTGTGGTATGGAGTAATGTCTCACTATATAGTTCAGATTGGCCTTAGACTCACTACATAGCCCAAGCTGTCTTTGAACTCATGGTAATCTTCCTGCCTCCATCTCCCATTCCCATCTCTCTCATCTCTGCTCTCACTGTATTTCCTGGAGTAACTGTTCCTCCCCACATTTTCCATCTGAAGAATTCCTGTTGATTCTGCAAAGCCCAGATGGACAGGACCTTCTCTGTGCTGCTGACTCTTCCTCTGTAACTCCTCAGCACCTTCTGTGCCCCTAGCTTCCTGAGAGGGGTCACTGCATAGTTGAGACATTCTTGCTACATCAGGGCCAGGCAGGTCTACTTCCATGAGTGGGTGGGGAATACACCCCTGGTCATAGACCCTTGAAGTCCAGGGATGCCCCAAAGAAGCAGCTGATAAACAGCCCAAGCCACTCCCATGATTCACCATAGCATTGCCACAAGGTTGAATATGGGTGATGTGAGTCCACCTGAGAAGACCACCACTTATGTCCTACTCTGCAGATGATAACCTGACTATGCATGGATGGGGTCACCCACAGGGGAAGACCAGACAGACATACATCTATACCTTGGCAGGTGGAATTCTTGGCCCTACCCCATACCTAGTCTCACTGTGTTAAACTGCTTCCCAGCAGACCCCATAGTACTATCAGTCATTTAAAGGGACCTTGTATACTGAGGGTATACTGAGGTAACTTTCCATCCCCAAACTCAGGAAGCAGAAAGGCTCAGCAGCAATGGTGGCTTCTCCTAAAAACAGGCCCATACTCCAGCTTCAGCCCTGATTCCAGGTGGCAGAGGGCCCAGCACTCCTTGGGGACAGTCCCAGCATTGCCTACATCTTCTGTGACCACACCCTGGAGGATGACTGGCCTAAGTCCTTCTAGCTGACTAGGTTAAGGCAGAGTTGACACCCAGTCAAAGCCCGCCTCCAGGCCCACACTAGTTCTAGCTTCACTGGCATTCTCTACCTAGCACATTCTTCCAGAGCACATGGGAGGGCCCTGGGGTAAGCAGATGTTTGAGGCCAGTGTTTAACTGGAGCTTCCTGGCTTTCCCTACATCACAGAAAGCGGGAGAACAGTATTCAGGAGGACCGAGGCAGCTTTGTCACCACACCCACTGCTGAGCTGTCCAGCCAAGAGGAGACATTGCTGGGCAGCTTCCTCGACTGGAGTCTGGACTGCTGCTCTGGTTATGATGGTGACCAGGAGAGTGAGGGCGAGAAGGAGGGTGACGGTGAGTGTATAGCAGAAGGACATTGCATAGGAGGTGCCTTCTACTGAGTGTCTCCTGCACCCAGCAATTGAGGTCTGGCCTTAGCCAATTGGTACTATACCCTCACCTAGGAGATCTTGTCCCAACCCAGAGGTGTGAGAGTAGACCCCCTTAGATTCTAGCCCTTAGGGTGGGAATGGGGATTACTGCCACTTCACAGGGAGACCTGTGTCCAGTTCCAGCTGGGTCTGTGTTGCTGGAAGGCCCTCTTAGGACAGGGAGGGACAGGGACCCTAGCTGGAGTTCCTAATTAGATCTTTCTAGAGGATTGTTGAGTTGTATCCACACATTTTACATAAGCTCCTCACCACCCCCTTTAGACTGGAGGAGTCCTATCCCCAGTGTCCTAAAAAACAAACTCCACCTTGGGCAGATTCTTTAGCCTTTTCCAGTTGCTTCATTTTGTGTCTACTCAGGGAGAGTAAGTTACATAGCCAGTTGCCCCCTTCCACTGCCCTCCTACAATGAGAAGCATATCTTCCTCAGTTTCAACTGAGTGATAGAAGGGACCACGGCCAAGTAAGGGATATTTGACCAGGTGCAGGAGGCTGTATATTGTCTTGGCTGTAAGCCACAGTCTGGTCTACCCACATCCTAACTGGGCAGAGAGGGTTACCTCTGATGCTTGGGCTGTGGCATGACCTCTGCCATTCCAACATTTCCCACAGTGACAGCTCCCAATGGTGTCCTCGATGTCACTGTGGTCTACCTAAACCCAGAACAGCACTGCTGCCAGGAATCAAGTGATGAGGAGGCCTGCCCAGAGGATGAGGGATGCCAGACGCCAGGCACTCAGACACCTCCAACGCCAGGGCCCAGGCCGATTCTCTGCAAGAGGAAGCCTGGCAAGGACATCATGACCTCAGGGTACTCCTCTGTCAGTAGCACAAGTCCCACAAACTCTGTGGATGGCAGCTCAGGGGACCCTCCACAATCTACCTCAGTGCTGTCCCTGGGCAGCGACTCCAACACACATCCTTGCCACCATCAGGCCAAGAAGCCATGTTTACAGTGTCGTCCCCCAACCCCCCCAGAGAGTACTCTTCCCCAGCGACAAGTGAAACGACAGAATCTATCTACTCACAGTGATGAGGACATGAACTTGGGCTTCCTGAAGCTGTGACTGTGTGTTAGTGTGTCTGTTGCAGTGAATGTTTACCAAGGAGGGCTGCTGTTCTGCTAGGATGGGTAGAGATACCACAGGTGAGAACTGTATAGATCTGGGGGGGATCCACAGAACAGAGGGTAACTTGTGGGTATGGAGTTTCTCCAAGGGATTCCTGTGCAAGCCCTCAGAAAGTCTTATCAATGTGAAAAATCAACTCTTAGGAAAATTATGCCTCAAACTAGTCATACCATGCCAAGTGAAACCCACCTCTCTGTACTTCCTGTGTCCCACTGTCTTGAAAATTAAACCTGTATTTGTTCTGGTCTTCTCAGCTTCACAGAGCTCCATGCCAGAAGCTGACAGCGTTCACACACACAATGCATGTGGTCCAGGTATCCTGCCACAGCTTGAGTTCCTGGCTGGCATCTCCCTGGTTTTGGATCTCAGCAGGTATTCAATGCTGTACACTCAGCCACGTTGGCCTGCATCAGATATCTACTCCTCTCTGGACAGTCAGCCTCATGGCAAGGGTACCTGTGTCCTTAGACATCTGTGTGGACTGTGCCATGACTACCAGATGTGGGAACCACATTCCCTCCCTCTGGCATACTCTGTCCCTCTTCCACAGTGTTTGTCTGTGTCTCTGTGGTATTCATATGACATTTTTCTTTGCACTGAATTTCTGGGCCATTTTTTTCCCATTTCTAGATTTCTTTAAACATGAGAACAAAGTTAACATTTAAAATAGAGGTATTAAAGCAAGAGATGAAAAAAAAAAGCAAGAGATGGTCAGCATTATTTAGGCTCAACTAAAAAAAGAAAATCTGACAGCCTTTCCATGCTATCCTGGTACCTTGTTTCTACTTTTGTTTATTTGTTTGGGGTGTTTTGTTTTTGTTTCTCTGGTTTTTTTTGTTTTGTTTTGTTTTGTTTTTGTTTGTTTTCAATACTGGGATTGAACCCAGAGTCCCCACTGAGCTACATTCGTAACTCTTTTGAATTTTTTTATTTTTACAAAGTGTCACTAAGTTGCTCAGGCTGGGCCTGAATTTGTAATCCTCCTGCATCAACTTCCCAGAGTGTTGGGATTACAGGTATGTACTACCTTGCCCTGCTTATCCTAGCACTTTTTATGCAAAAAGGTTTTTCCCAGAGGTTAGCCAGAAAAAATTCAAGTCATCTGTAATATCTGAGGTGAGCAAGAGACAGAAGAGCAGCCAGAAGATTTGCCTTTGACTGAATCCAACTGTAGATCTACTGTGAATTCTGTGGGGAACAAAGCAGATCTGCCTTTCCTTTTGTGGAGCTGGATCACTGCCTCACAAGAGACAGGGCTGGGGATATAGTTTAGTGGTAAAGCATTTGCCTACTATGCATTAACCCTTGGCTTGTGAGCCTTATAGGAAGCACCCCAAACACTGCCTGGGGAGTCTGGAAGGTCAGTCACAAATACATCAGCTCTGCTAGGGTGCACTCTTATTTCCTCTTGAATGTAACAAAGAACCAGTGGCTAAATGCTTTTGAACCAGGGACATACAGGGAAGGGGGGAAGTTGACTCAGTGTTCACTTTGCTTTGTGCTTGTGTGTATGTGACTGTGTCCATGGCAACTGTCTTTGCTACTGTAAGAAAATTCTAACCAAGTCAGGTGTGGTGGTGCACACCTAACATCCCAGCACTCAGGAAGCTGAGGCAGGAGGATCATTGAAAGTTTGAGACCAGCCTGGGATACCAAAGTGAGCTCAAGGCCAGCCTGAACTGCATGCTGAAACTCTATCTCAAAAATGTTTAAAAAACCAACCAATCAACAAACAAAAAAATACCCTGGCTGGGGCATGGTGGGGATGAGGCCCCAGGTAATGGAATTGTAGACCTGTCCTGACTTCCCCTGGGTGTATGTGAGCCTGTTCCTCATCTGTAAGATGGGGCAATAATACCTACCTCACAGGGGTGTTGTGAGGATTAAATGTATTGACAGTTGCACACTGGTGATAACTCATCACTTAACTGTCTTGAGTCTTGTCTATGGTCTCTGTGAACAAGATTTCTACTCCAGATGGACTTAATTCTCTGCTTTCTCCCAGCCTGCACCTATAGGAGGAAAGCACTCCAGGGAAACCTGAGAGCACTTGATTCTACTGTGGGATCTCTCTTAGTTACTTTCTCTCATTGCTGAACAAAATGCCTGACCCAAAGTTAAAGGAGAAAAGGTTTATTTAGGTCACAGTTTACAGAGGTTTCAGTCCATAATCAGCTGACTCCAAGGTAGAATAGCAAATGGCAGAGGGGCAACAGTTCATGGCAGTGGAAGACACCAAGAGCAATGAGACTGGTATCTCTTGTATTTTATCAATTAGGATGGTGCCAATTCAATTAGTGGGCAGATCCAGCAATCACCCATCCTTAATCCCAGCACTGCCCTACAAATCAATCACTTCATATTTAGTTACCTCCAAAGAAGAAAAAAACGACCACATGAAGCTTTGGGGCGACACCCAGACAAACCCTAACAGTTTCCTTTACTTAAGTACTGTTTGGAGATTTTCCTCTTTCCTCTACAGTTATTACTTGGGTCCCAGCCCCATTTCACTTCTCTGGTAGGCACCTTCAGCACCTCCTCACCTGTGTCTTCTAACCTCTTTCTATACTTAAGCCATACCCAAGGCTGGTCATCCAGCTGCCATGTGAGATTTCTTGGCCTCTTTAGGGGTAGGAATTCATTGTTTATTCTACTGGAGCTGCTGCCCTTGCTTCTAGCAGTATCTATATCCAGGAACCTTTGGCAGCTGTACCTGAGTGACATTCACTGAGGCCTGGATTTCATTCCATGCTCAGCCTTTAGCATCTTGTCCATGGCCCCCTCCTAGAACACACCTGACCCCTGCTGTTTTTCCTGCTGTCAGTTCTCTGGGTTCCTTTCCTGTCTACATATCCCACCTTGAGCCATCTTGTCACACCCATGGTTCATGTACACCTGCTTTGAAAGTGGGCTTCATAGCTATCCAGGTGCCTGATACTTTCCCGGATGTCATCACTACACGTCATTTCCAAAACTGAATTCTTGTGCCCAGTTGCCAATCCTAAACATATCATTCTTCCCTCATTCATGCGCCTGATCTAGTGCTAGGTGGCCCTGGGTTCAGCAAGAGAGCTCATCTCTGTTTTAAGAGCGTTCGACAGGTCAGATTAAGACATAAAGCAAACAATTAAAGGTGCTCTGCAAGGGGACTTTAAGAGTGATGCCCTCGCGTACCGGTAATCCAAACGAGAAGCTTCTGTCAGTCGCCTGAGATCTTGGTGATTCAGGTTCCGACTAGGCAAATCTGTAGTGGGCGGGGCTGAGCGCTGCTCTCGGGATTGGGTGGCCAGGTCGGAAGGGGCGGTCTCGTGCGCGGAAGCGGGGAAACAAACTGCAAAGCTCCAGGAATCGGAATGGCCGTCATGCTGCCGGCTGACTGCGCCCGTCGGTAGGTTCCACGCAGAGGGAATGGGGCTGTAGGGCGCGTGGCCCGAGGCCTGATCCCTGTCGGGCTGCTGAGTCGTCGGTGTATTCTCCCAGGCTGGTGTCTGAGCTTCAGGGTGCGCTGGACGTCTGCGCAGAGCGACAGCGGCAACTGGAGCAAAGCCTACGCGTCTCCCGGCGGCTGCTGCAGGCCTGGTATGCGGATTGCAGGAATCCGGTCCTCCCTCGTATTCGTATTCTTGGAATACCCACTTCCAAGATGCTAGTTGTCAGTGCCATCTCCGTTACCCTGCAGACTTCAAGGCTTGTGAGGCAGTAGGATGGAATTTGAACGATGGTTGCTCTGTCTTTGTAGGGAACCAGCAGGGACCACAGCTGTGGAGCCACCTCCTGGGTCAGAAACTAAAAAAGAGGATCCTTCTCCAGGTAAACCTCCATCTACCTTCTCCAGGTGCTTCCCCTGGTATCTCATGTGCAGTGCTAAGGGACCCATTCTGGGGTCTTGAGAGGGAACCCCTGTATGTGTCTTGGCTTTCACAGCATGCACATCAAACCCCCAAGACCTCAAGGAGATGGAGCTTCTGACCCAAGCACTGGAGAAGGCAATACGGGTGCGGAAAGGCATCTCTAAATCTGGAGAAAGAGGCAGAACCCCCAGCCTGAAATCTGGGTCCATTGCTATATCTTCTGGCACCACTGCCTCTGCCCTACCCCAGTCCTCCAGCCGGGCTGCCCACTATTCTTCAAGGACAAGACCCATGAAGGGTATCCATCAGACTACGGTGCCTACCAAGGGTCACGCTGAGCACAGGCTTCCATTGGTGAGAAACAGGTCTCATGTGGGGCTAGGAGCCCAAGCCACCAGGCTTGAATTGAACCATGGGAAAAAAATGACCCTGTCACCTGCTCATCATACAGCAGAAACCTTCACACTCAAGGAGAAGGGGTAGGTTTTCCTGACAGACTGAAAAATTTGTGTCTCTACCTGCTGAGACCCCCTTCCAACAGCGGGAGTCTGGGCCGTGTGGTACAGAGAGGGAAGGGCATTGAACTAGATGTGGGAGTCACGAGTATCACCCTATGAGACTTATGTTCTGCAGCTGGCCAACTGCAGCAGGTGGCTGGGATGGTACCAGGTTTGACATGCTGGAGGCTGACCTGCCATCTCCACCAGCTACCCTTTTATTTACCCAGCCCAGGGGCTCCAGGTGAGTTCTGAGCACTTGGGCTCTACTTATGGTATTCTCTCTCTTGCTTTGTTGGTGTTTTGCTTTTTTTTTGAGACAGAGTCTCACCGTGCAGTTCAGGCTGCCTCAGTCATGTGCCACCATGCCTGGTTTATAGTGTCCTGTCTTCTCCCAGCCAGGTACTAGGACAGGCTAGCTCCCTTGCCACTGTGAAAGCCCCTTCCAATGGTGCTTGTGGTGGCACATGCTTATAGTCCCAGTACTCCAGGAAGCTGAAGGAAGAGGCCTGCAAGTATGAGCCCAGCCTGAGCAATTTAGCAATTTACCCCGTGTTTTAATATATAAAAGGGACTAGGGATCTAGGTCAATACAAAGGCCCTGGGTTCAGTCCCCAGAAGCACAAAAGGTGGGTGAGGGATAAAACTGGGGAGAGAGTGAAGAGTCTTACCACTAATGAGATATGAGCAGGAAAAATGACTGGAAGCCCCTGAAGTAAAATGAGGTTACTCTAAATACTGGCTTCTCTGACAGGACCCTGCTAAAGCTGCCCTTGGCCTTCAGGAAGGCGGCTTCCCGGAATTCCTGGTAAGGCTGGGTAGGGACAGAAGGACATATGGAAAACATCACCAGCTGAGAGATATAGGCAACACTTGTAGCAGGTCTTGTCTTTCTTTACTGGACATTGTCACTATCTGTGTTCAGTTTGTCCAGCTAGGACTACTATATAGTTGCCTCAGGTTCAGGGAGTTTTGAGACCCCTACCTCAGACACTCACAAGTTGTAAGACCTAAACATGATACTTGGTGTCCCCAAACCCCAGACAGTAGGCTCAGCTTCATAGAAGTGTTGGGGGTGGAGGATTCTAATGGTGCCGTTCATGTATTTGCATTATGCATTATACAGAGCAAGCACATAAGTCTCTTACCAGTCATAGTAATTGGTCACTGCCAGCTCCTTTATCCTTAATTTTTTGGTTGGGGATGGTGGTTCTTTTTAGTTCTTTTTTGAGATATGGCTTCACTATGCAGTTCAGGCTGGCCTTGAACTCACAGCGATCCTCTTGCTGTAGCCAAGGGCTGGGAATTCCAGGCATATGCCACTATACCTGGCTCAATTTTCTTTTAGTACTTTTTTTTTTTCCCCATATGTGTGTTGAGCTTTATTTGTGCTAGATAAGGCCTAACACTGAGTTCCACCCATGTTCTTTCTCTTAGTATTTCCCTGACCAGCTCTGTTCCCTGTCTATTATCTTGGTCAGTGTCCTTTAAGTTTCCCAGTGCCCCCTTAAAGCCCCTGCTGGTATTCAGCAGAGCCATCTACCCTGCCTGGGGCCTCTACCCTATCCCTGACCTTTCTCCTAATTCCTAGCCCAATTGACTAGAATAACTGCCTCTGTTTGCTTCCTCGGGTACCTCGGTATGTATTCTAGCCTATGGACCCAGCTCAACTCCACACAAACCAATGATTCCACAGATGCCACCAGTGCTGCCAAAACCCAGTTCCTTCAGAAAATGCAGATATCTGTATCCTTGCTGGGACTGTGGGAGCCTGGTGACTTTCTACTCTAAGCTTAAGCAGGTTTAAGTAGCAGCCCCAGGAGGTTCCTTGGTGGAATCGCCAGTCTCTCTCCCAACCATTTCCATGGTGGGAACTGAATTCTAGCCATAGAAGAGTTTTCCTGACCCATATCCAGTCAAGCACATCCAGCTCCAAGTTCAGTGCCGTGGAGATAGAGATGGAGACCCAACGCCTGCAGAAAGCCTGTGCACTACTTAGACGACGCATGCAAGAAGAGCTCTCAGCAGGTCAGCCTAGACTAGGGCTTGGGGAGGGGGTGAGTAGGGCAGGTTGCAGGAACAGCATGGATGCAGCCTCCCCTCCCTGTTGTGTAGCCCCTGTAGACTGGATGCAGGAGTACCAATGCCTGCTCATTCTGGAGGGGCTGCAGACCATGGCTCAGCAGTATCTCCATAAGGTGCAGGAACTCTGTACAGGTAAGGCCTCATCCATCTACCACCTGTACCAATGTCTAGATCAAAACATGGCACATTAGCCCATCTTGCCCTTGTTTTAAGGAAGGGTGAGCAGTGCAGGGACTAAAGGCAAGCACCCTCATTCTCCCCCCTCACCAGTACTGGATTATCACCAGTCGTCCTTGGGACTAGCCAGCCATCCTTACCTGCTTAGAACAGTTCCTTTACCCTCTTGACAGACAGAACCTCACCAAACTGAGCAGTTTGTTTACTCAGGTACTTAAAGGGTAACTGAGCAACAGAGCTGCTTTTCTCCTTTGGTCCTGCATTTTACTCCCTGTACCAGGAATTGAATCCAGGGCCTTTTTGTATGCTAGGTAAGTACTCTACCACTAATCTATGTTCCCAGCCCTTTTTCCTTCTTTTCTTGTTTTTACTTTCTTTTTTCTTTCTTTCTTTCTTTCTTTCTTTCTTTCTTTCTTTCTTTTCTGTCTGTCTGTCTGTCTGTCTGTCTGTCTGTCTTGACAGGATCTCACTGTGTAATTCAGCTGGCCTTGAAATCACTTTGTAGCCCAGGCTGGCCTTGAACCAGCCAATCCTCCTGCCTCAGCCTCCTAAGTGCTAGGATTACCCTGGCATTTTTGCACTTCTTATTTTAATCTGATAGAGTATCTTGCTAAATGGCCTAGACTGGCTTCAAACTTAAACTTCATTCTGCTGGGGCTGGGGATTTAGCTCAGTGGCAAAGTACCTGCCTGGCAAGTGTAAGGTCCTGAGTTTGATTCCTGGTACACACACCACCACCCGCTGCAAATTCTGTCTCATTTCTGAAACTGGTTTTACAGTTGTGTACCACCATGCCCAGCTCCTCTGAATCTTTTAAGTACAAGTTTTAAGAATGAAGATTTGTCATCTATCAAAAACAAAGTTAGGCTCAAGAAAGTCACAAGCACAGTGAAGAAACCCAGGTGCCAGTTATGATGGCACATAATCTATAATCACAGTACTTAGGAGGCTGAGGCAGGAGAATGGTAAGTTTAAAGGTAACCTGGACTACTTAGCAAGTTCAAAGTCAGCTTGGATTATACAGCAAGACTCTGTCTCCAAAAACAACAAAGAAACCCAGTAGGTAAAGGGTGACTCCACAAAGTTCTGTCCTTGCTACATCAAGCCCAGGCAAGCCCACCACACTGCCAAACACTGAGCTGTTCTGAAAGCATAGATTTTCACCTTTTAAAGTCAAGCAAGCCAGATGTGGTGGTACACTGCTGTAATCCCTGCTGCACAGGAGTGAAACAGGAAAGCAGAAGTTTGAGGCCAGTCTGAGCAACTTAGCAAGACCCTCTATCCAAATAAAAACGAAATAAGTTGGACATAGTGGTACATACCTTTAATCTGAGCACCTAGCTTTCAGGAGATTGAGGTAGAAGGGCCTGAGGTTCAAAGCCCACTTGAGCTACAATAGTGTGTTCAAGACAACCGTGGAATACTAAGGAGACTGTCTCAAAAATGGGGTGTATGGAGGATTGGGATGTAACTCAGTGCTCAGTAGGTCCAATCTCCAGTATACCAAAAGAAAAAGCCAGGGGTGGGGAATGGATACTGGGAAAGACAGGCTTGGGATTATGGGATGGGCAAACCTCTCAGAGAGAGCCCCCACCATGGCTAAAATGATGTGGAGCCCTGGGCCTGGCTGTCCACCCATAAGGCCATGTCCTCTGGTCTTCACAGCTCTGACAGAACAGTTACCAGGATCTAATCTCATGGGGAGGCCTCTCCAGGCCTCATTACCCTCTGGCGGTCATGTATGTACTTCTTGGGGCCCCCAGCTCCTTCTCTACTCCAGCACTCAACAGCTGAAGACCCTGGGAACTCTCAGGCTGCGGGTAGCCATGCTGGAGCAGCAGATCCACCTAGAAAAGGTACTTACAGAGCAGAAGGTGAAGGGATGTGCACTGGGCAGGGAGCCAACACCAAGCAGAAGGCTGGCAAAAGAAAAAGAAACCCCGTATTAAGGACTTTCTGGGTTACTTTCCCAGGACCTACTGGGGTGACATGAATAACTAAGCACCCCTAACCTGCTGTGAAGGGCCCCACATACACTGCACACCCTGGATGTGTAGTGCCTTAGGAGAAAGGAAGACTGGAATATGGAAATTTGTCCCAGGATTTCCTGCCTGTTGGAGTTCTGGGATAGCAGCTAAAACAGGTCCCTACTAAGACCATGGCATTATACTGCTCCCAGGTTCTGATGGCTGAACTCCTTCCCATTGTGAGCACCCAGGAGCCACAGGGCCAACCCTGGCTGGCTCTGTGCCGAGCTGCCCATAGCCTGCTCTGCGAGGGAGGTGAGCGCTTCCTCACAGTCCTGCGAGAAGATCCTGCAGACTGATCCTACAGCCCAGGTCTTGGCATCCTGGGGCAAGGAAACCTTTCAGAAAGAGCCTTCTCCTGGATGGAGTAAAGGGAACTGGGGGTGAGGAGAATTTCAACCCCCCTGTATCTCACTGTGTATCCAAGGTGGAGTAAGTGGGCTGCCTTATGTCTTCTCATTGTGGCCAAACCTGCTGGTCAGGGCTCAGATTTCTGCCTCTCTGGGACCTAGCAGCTGAGATGTGGGGATGGAGGGTTTTGTCTGTTTTCTCACTGTAGATCTAAGAACTGGTTTTATATTAAAACTACTACTTTAGGAAGTATATCTATTTAAGTCATACCAAAGTGAGTTTGATAGAAGTCTTTTATAGTTTTTATTTCCTTATAGTTTTATTTCCTTAAGTTGGGTATGGTGGCATCATAATCCAGCACCGGGGAGGGTGAGGCAGTCGCAAGGCAAATCTAGGCTACATAGCAAGAACCTGTCTCTTAAGAAAAAAATTGTATGAAGTGAATTGATCAAGTTTATGAGTCTGCATAAAGGATGGGGTTAGGCTATTCAAAGTGAGGATTTTCCTCAGCATGTCTGAACACTCCCACCCTTTTGCCAGGTATGTAGAGTTGCACTGGGCTTACCAAAAGACAAAAAGCCATTTATTCATATTGAAGAATAGGCTGGTTACTCTCCCTATTTCCAGCCATCCCAGCTTTCCTCACTGACTCCTGATCCCTTGTGCCCAGCATCTCCTAGCATTAATTCTCTGGCTGGTAATGTGGCCTCCTTTCCACAGTGAAGCCTGTTTCAGGGGAAAGGCCCTTTATCACCTCCTCTGAGACTTCCCTATCCCCTGTGAAAGGAATCATCATCACCCCCCAGAAGTCAATAAAGGGCAGGAATCAGGATTGCAGCCCCAGGCGTGGGTTTATAGCATGTCTTGTTCCTTATTGTGAGACTTTTAGCAAGATTCTTAAGCCTCAATTCCTCCTGGCAACTCCATTACTCCCTATAGAACTTAGGTACAGGTGCTCTGATCTGGAAGACCTTGTAATTTCCAGGATGAACACACCACAATTACTGTACTGTGTTAGTTTCCACAGCAGGCAGCATACCCAGACTTTTTTGTTTAATTTGAGACAGGGTCTTATACTGTAGTTTAGGATGGCCTTGAGCTTACTATGTAGGCAGTGATTTTCCTGCCTGTTTCTTTTTATTTGTACCAGCGATCTAACTTGCCTCTGTTTCTAGAGTGCTGAGGTTGTAGGGATGCACTATCATACCCAGCAACCCAATTTATGTCATCACCTGGTCTGACTGGTTTATTGCCACTGTGTCTCCTGTCTCAATGTCCTGCATTCCCTATATCCCACATCACAGGAAGCAAGGCCACTGTTCATCTCTGTCCTGGCCAGGTACAATGGGAACTCATAGTCTTCGACTCAGTCTACCCATTTTGGGGCTAGTCTATGGCCTGGGGGTGTCCCATGGATTACCATCAGTGTACAAGGGCCACAGGCAAGAAGGTGCTCTGGATAGAACTGTTATTATGAGAGCGTATTTGTGAGTAGGACCCAAGTGGGATTCAGTCCAAGTTAGGGTTTCCTCCACCAAAGCTGGAGGTGGTGGCAGAACTCCCTGGCATCTTGGGTGTCATCACCACATCTAAAGCCAATCAGCTCTGATGTGGCTGGCCCAGATGCGAGAGCCAAGGCTGCAATAAGTGCTCCCACCCCCCACTTCATGGTTGCCACCCAGTTGGTCATTGACCTGAGTGTGCTGGAGCTATTGCCCCCTTACCCCAGCCTGCCCCACTGGGTTCTGTACAAAGTACGTAGCCACTGGTGGTGTGGGGTACTCCTGGCCATGCATCCTGCCTTTCTGAGCTGTAGCCTTATTAGCTAGTGCTGTACCTCACTGTGTACGGACCCTGCCTGAACCACACCCCAAGGCTGGTGGCCTGTAGCCCTTGAGGGTATGGCTCCTGGAGCCTTGAGCTGGCAGGCTCTTGGAGCAGAGGACCCCCAGAGCTGGGGCACAGGTTCCCATCCTCCCATGAGAGGGAGAACTATGGGAGCACCTTTCCTAAACCATGGCTTTCCAAGAAGGTTCCCACAGAGGGAGTTATGGGCCTGTTTCCTGGGCTGCCAGCTCATATCCTCTCTCCACCCAGAACTGCCTTTTACCATTTGTCTTGGCGTGCAGAGCTAGTTGCATTGCAAAGTAGGCTGAGAGCTAGATGGGTGGGAGCCTCTGCACATAGGAGCTTCCAAGCACTAGTCCTTACCTGGCAGCATAACTTGGGTCTACACGACCACTGTTCACTGAGGCAAGTATTGTTCACCTTCTGGGTATGTCTCCTTGAGACATAATAGGCACACAATAAATGTGTGTATAAAAACTAGGCGCTAACCTGTAATCCAAGAACTCACAGGCTAAGGCAAGAGGATCACCTCAAATTTAAGGCCAGCTAGGGCTACATAGTGAGTTCAAAGCTAGTCTGATTTATATAGTGAGACCCTGTCTTTTTTTTTTTTTTGTCTTTTTTTCCTTTTTATCGGTATGAGGATTGAACTCACAACTGCCTGCTTGCATGGCAGGCGTGTATGCCGCTGAGCTAAATCCCCAGCCCCTGAGATCCTGTCTTTAAAAAGAGAGGAAAAAAAAAAACTTTGTACAAAAAGAGAACAAGTTGTGGTTTATAACAGTCTGGAGGGGACAATAAACCCTGGCTTGGGCCTGGAGTTACATGATCAGTCAATATCCCCTGTGGCTTGGAACTGTCAAGCCCTCCATCTTTTATAAGATTTCCCTGCTGCTTGTATGCCTAAGGCAGTAGCTATCTCTCTTGAGTTAGTAGGGTGGTAGCACTGTCCTGAAGAGTTGCAAGTGAGGGGAAAAAGTGTGGCAGAGACAAAAAAGATGGGCAGTGTAAGGGGCTGGGACAGGTAGCTGTATCCACTGGGAGAAATGGGTGTCATCCATAGACTACAGGGAGGGTCTTCCCAAGCTCCCATCAAACTATCTGAGAGAGCAACCCTGAGAACCCCAAACAGTATGTGTAAAGGGTAAATCCATGGAGGGAATCTACATTCCCAAAGAGCTTGTTAACAGAGTGCTTCTGTGGGTCCCAGCCTCCTTCCCCAGCAGAGCTGATCATCACTGAGCCCATCACTTACTTTACCCACACCAGAAGCTTCCAGATGTTCTATAAATCCCAGCTCACAGGAAGATTAGACTGGCTTCAGGAACTCTGGTAGTGGTTCCAAAATCCAGGGATAGGTCTGGGGATTTAGGTCAGCGGCATAAGCGCCTGCCTTGCAAGCAGGCAGTCATGAGTTTGAACCCTGGTACCGATAAAAAAAAAAAATAAAAAAAAAAAAAATCCAGGGACAGCCTGGCTTTCCTGGGAGACATGGAGCTCCCTGTAACAGACTTGGGCCTTCCAAATTATAGCCCTTAGCCCCTATGTGCCCACCAGTGATTTGGGGTTAAGGGTCAAGAAGGACCTTGAAGAGGGTGATTGGGAAGATATTGTTTCTGAATATGAGAGCAGAGCATAAGCCTACAACAGCTTATTGTTTGTATTGTTTTGTTTAAGACAGGGTCTCTCACTATAATGAAGATAGCATTTAAACTCACTGTATATCCAAGACTGACATTCAACTTGCAATGATCCTCCCACCTCAGCTTCCCAAGTGCTGGAATTACAGGTGTGTGCCACTATGCCCAGCATACAACTGATTATTGTAAGGAATACATTTTCATTCAACAGGAAGCTGAAAAGCAGTAATGGCTACTAGACACAAAGAGATTGGCTAGTAGTTCCTGTAGTCCTCCGGGCTCATCACCATCCCCATCCTTGCATGTATAGAATACTGTGGCTAGGGGAGTCAATTGGTCCAGGAGACAAGCCTACTAGGCCCTCTTGCTCCCTCTGCCCCTTTGGCTTGCCTTGGGAGGCTCCAATGTCCTCTTTCTCTCCTACTCCCAAATAGCACACTTCTGCTGCTTTTCCTCTTTCTGTTGATCTTTACAGCATCTCTGTCCTGGTCCAGGTGGCAGCTCTACTTACAGGACCATGCCCATGTGGCCTCCTCCATTAGCTAGCTGCAGAGCCCAACCTGGAGTCAGCTTTCCTTCCAAAATTGTGGGAATTCATGCATCAGGGATTCTCTGGAGGTATAACATATTCCCTGCCCTCCCCTACCTGGGGCCAACCCTTACTACTTCTTGGGGGCCTCTATCAAAGACCTAAAGTTGGTACAGAAAGGGGTTTCTCTGTCCCAAATGAACCCACTAATTGGATTCTGCCTGTTTCCCTGCCCAGACCTGGTGGAGTGTGGGCCAGAAGGATAAAGGTTCTGACATGTGTATTTGTGACAAGCCCTTCCACACAGGTCAGACCTCACCCTCTACCCCTCCACAGTATTCAAGAGCTGACCCAACTCTGAACCCCAAGGGGCCCCCTAGTGGGCTGTCCCACCTTTCTAGAGCATTCATATCCTCCCTGCTAGCTCCCACTTCTGCATTCACAACGGTGACAAAACCAGACATTCTAAGTCAGAGATGCTTTGGCACAAAAATTTGGCCTTTTTCAGCTGAGCTCAGATCTGCCCTACTAGATTTCTCAGTTTAGAATTGATTTCTATATGTACTCATAGATCCTTCAAGCAGAGGAAGCTGAATAAATTTGGTGAATGGGAAGCTGAGGAATCCAAGCTATATAGCCAGAAATTAGTGCTACTTGGATTCCAAATCAGACCTCCTCACAACTCTGGGTTCTTTCTGGGAGAGCAGACTGCAGCTTTAGGGACAAGAGTCCACTAGCCCTACTTGGTTCTCCTACTCAGGGCATTTCCAGGCCTCAGCCATCAGACCCAGGACCCTCCTCCCTAGTGATGGGCCTCAATGAGGCAATGGCCCAGACTTCCTAGCCCGGCACCATGGCACAACCCCAACAGCAGCCAACGCCTGGGACCCTGCTGGGTGGTCCCCCACCGGTTGGAGGGCTGAGCTCCCCTCTCTAGGTCTCTCCGCCAACGCATTCCAGGCTCCCTAAGCCCCTCCCCCAGCTCCTGGGCCTCCCAGCCCCCTTCCCCGCTGGCCCGGCCTATGTCTGAATCTGCTTCTGATTCCCGCGGAGCAGACAAGGACCCCTCCCCCCCGCCCCCCCCCCCCGCTGGAGCAGCCCCGCCCCTGGTTGGGCTTGGGCTCTAGATTGCTGCGCCCCCCACCCCTTCCTGGCACAGCTCGCCCGCCCTTGCTGTAGCCAGGAGGAGGCTTCGGCCGGTGCGCCCCAGGCCTTGCCTGCTCTCGGCCCTTCCCCAGAGGCCAGCAGCCCTGCTTCTAGCCCACGGTGGTGAGTGCGCTCGTGGGCAGCGGGTGGGGCCTCCCGGGTGGAGGCACTGGGAGTGAGGGCAACGCCTGTCAATGCTCCAGGCCTAGCAGGAGGACCCGCCAGCATCTCCACAGAAGAGCTCCGCCAGGGGCAGCCCACAGCTGCTCCTGCCTCTGGGTTGCGGCTGCCTAGGGGCTCTGCTTGCACCACTCTACAGGCCAGCGGGCAGAATCTAGGGCCAGCTCTCCCTCCCTGGGGCAGAGTTGTGGGGCCCTGGCCAGCTGACTGACCTCCAGTGCTCCAGTCATGTTCAGCTGGCCCTGGGTGCTGCTGCTGGCCTTGGGCACATTCTCCATTGCGATGAGCCCGGGGCCACTAGTACCTACTGACCCCTGCTATGAGGAGGGGGGCGCACCCCGAGGCTGCATACCGGGCCTGGTAAACGCAGCCCTGGGCCGTGAGGTACTGGTGTCCAACACGTGTGGGCGGCCAGCCACTTGGGCCTGTGACTCCTCAGACCTGATGCGGGCACACCCTCCTGCTCTCCTGACATTGGCTGGGGGCTCGACCAGCTCTGTGTGCTGGCGCTCTGAAGTGCTGCATCGAGTGCCCCTCAATGTGACTCTCACAGTGCCCCTGGGCAAAGCTTTTGAGTTGGTCTTCGTGAGCCTGCGCTTCTGCTCAGCTCCTCCAGCCTCAGTGGCCCTGCTCAAGTCCCAGGACCATGGCCACAGCTGGACTCCGCTGGGCTTCTTCTCCTCCCACTGTAGCCTGGACTATGGGCGTCCACCTGCTTCATCGGATGGGCCTGCTGGCCCAGGGCCTGAAGCCCTGTGCTTCCCTGCACCCCAGGCCCACAGTGATGGTGGTGGCCTTATGGCTTTCAGTGTGCAGGATGGTAGCCCACCAGGCCTGGATCTGGACAGCAGCCCGGTGCTCCAAGACTGGTTGACCGCCACAGATATCCGCATATTGCTCACAAGGCCTTCTATGCCAGGGGATACCAAGGACTTGGATGCCATAGTCCCTTACTCCTACTCAGCCACTGAATTGCAGGTGGGCGGACGCTGCAAGTGCAATGGGCATGCTTCACGGTGCCTGCTGGATACTCAGGGCCACCTGATCTGCGACTGCCGACATGGCACAGAGGGCCCTGACTGTGGCCGCTGCAAGCCCTTCTACTGCGACAGGCCATGGCAGCGGGCTACAGCCAGAGAAGCCCACGCCTGCCTTGGTGAGGCCTTGGAGGGTGGCCTGGGGACCTCAGACCAGGCAGGCTAGCCCCTGACCCATCCCTCCCTGCAGCTTGTTCCTGCAATGGCCATGCCCGCCGATGCCGTTTCAACATGGAGTTGTACCGTTTGTCTGGCCGCCGCAGTGGAGGTGTCTGCCTCAACTGCCGGCATAATACTGCTGGTCGTCACTGCCATTATTGTCGGGAGGGCTTCTATCGTGACCCAGACCGTGCTCTTAATGACCGTCGTGCTTGCAGAGGTGAGCCTGCCACCTGCATGCTGTCATATACTCTGGTTTCCCAAGATCCTCTGACCAAGCCCTTCCCATCTTTTCCATCAGCTTGTGACTGTCACCCTGTTGGTGCTGCTGGCAAAACCTGCAACCAGACCACAGGCCAGTGCCCCTGTAAGGATGGTGTCACTGGCCTCACCTGTAACCGATGTGCTCCTGGCTTCCAGCAGAGCCGCTCACCCGTGGCACCCTGTGTTAGTGAGTGACCCTGCTTGTCTCAGCCAACTCAGCTCCTGGCTGTTGCCTATCTGTCCCTTGAGGCCTGAAGATTGCCCTACATCCTCACTGCAGGCCATTTTTCCCATCTTCTCTGTAGAGACCCCAGTCCCTGGACCCACTGAGGAGAACAGCCCTGTGGAGCCAGAGGGTGAGTGGATAAAGGAACAGGGTCCCAGACTGGTATGATCTTTGGTAGGAAGCTATAGGTTCAAGCAGGAAAAGGAAGGGGGGGGTTGCCTGGGAATCTGTCAGCATCCTCCCTTCCTCCCTAGATTGTGAGTCCTACTGCAGACCCACCCAAGGCAGCTACCGCATCAGCCTGAAGAAATTCTGCCGTAAGGACTATGGTAGGCTGCCCCAGGACTCCAAGCCCAGGCCCTTCATCTTCTTTCCCCTAATTTTTCCCAACCCTTGCTGGGCCCCAAGATCCATCAGTCCCTCAGGTCCCACTGTTGCTGACCTTGCCCATTCCCCTCTCACCCAACTCCGTTTGTGTCCTCTGTGTACTGGGTGGGCGACCTGTGTCCTCCCTGCAGGGCCTCAAGCTTGACCAGCCCTGCCTGAGCCACCCGCCTCCTTTCCGTCTCCTCACAGCTGTACAGGTGGCGGTGAGCGCGCACGGTGAGGCACACGGCACATGGACACGCTTCCCTGTGGCAGTGCTTGCAGTGTTTCGGAGTGGCGAGGAACGCGCTCGGCGCGGAAGCAACGCGCTCTGGGTGCCGGCTGCCGACGCGGCCTGCGGCTGCCCGCGCTTACTTCCTGGCCGCCGCTACCTTCTGTTGGGGAGCGGGCCGGGGGCTGTCGCCGGAGGCCGGGGACCTGGGCTCAGCGCTGCTCGTGGGAGTCTCGTATTGCCTTGGAGGGACGCGTGGACACGTCGTCTGCGAAGGCTGCAGCGGCGCGAGCGACGGGGGCGTTGCGGAGCGGCCTGAGCTCTTGGTGGAGCAGGAGTGGGGCGTTGCTCCCACAAAGCGGAGCATTCCCGACTGCTTTTTGTGTCGGGCACGCAGCCTTCTGGGCCCCCACATTCTCCCTCCCTTGGTGCCTCATGACTGGATCACACAGATGTGAGTGATGGCTTGAAGAGCTGCTGGGAGGTGCCTTGGGCAGCTGTAACTCCCAGAGGCTTCCTTGATAAGCCATCCCCCACACACATTCACGTACATGCGATATCTACTCCGTACAAGGAACAACTCAGCACCTGATACCCCTATAAGGCTGGGTCCTTTTATGATGCTGAGACCCCCCTCAAGGGTTTTGAGAACATCCAAAGGCCACTGTGATTCAAACCCCTTATGCTGTGACCAACAGAGGGCATTCTGACCTCTTCCAAAGCACTGAGGCCACCATGGACGCCTGTGGACTTCTATGGGGTGGGTGACTCAACTCCGCTCGGCGTACTAAGAATCCCCTGCCTCTTGCAGAGGGCGCTGAACTTCAACAAGAGGTCCGCTGCCTCTGTCAAGAGGTGCGTCTCTTGTCTACACGTTGGCTTTGAGCAGTCTGCCAGTTAAGTGTCCACGTCCACGTCTTTGGTCTTCGCACAGCTGACGTCTGCTGCGTCACCGAGCCTTGGCTTTAGGACTCCAATAACTAGGATCCCGCCCCACAGGCCTCCACGTACTCCTTCGCTTTCTCTAAATAGGACGTAGTGGATGATGTGCGGTCAAGGTCCACCCGTGACCTTGGCGGACGGCGACTCCGGCCGGCAGCTGTGGCCCGCAGCTGTCCGGACTCTGGATGCGCGAGGTGCCGCCTCATTGAACACGTTCCCTGCCAGGCGCATAAACCCCCGCCCCTGCGCGTTGTACCGTTGTTCCGCGGGCTCTTGCTCTAGCTTTGGCCGCCTTCAAGCGCCAGTGCGCATGCCCAGAGCCGGCTAGGCTGAAACGCGGGGCGCTCGAGGTGGGCGGCCAGCGGCGCGTGCTCGGCAGGGGCGGGGCCGCCTATGCGCGTGCGCAGAAGAGCGGGCGCTGTGCGGCAAGCTGAGGAGAGCGGCGCGGCGCGTGGAGGTGGGTGCGTGGCGGGAAGGCGGGGGCGTGGCGGTCGGGTGCGGGGTCAATGGGGCGCCGCTGTCATCGCGCTGGGGCCGGCAGAGCGAACTGCGCTATGAGCCTTGGCCGCGGCGTCGCGCGAGTCGGAGGGTTTCGGGAGCCCGGCGCTGCCCAGAGGTTATGACGCGGGCCCAGGAGCCAGACCCCCACCCTCCGGCCGGCCGGTCATTTCATCCCCCCACCCGCTCCGCCGCCGCGGCTCTCCGGGCCCAGGACGAGGTGTGGAAGTGTCGTCGGAAAGAAGTGTTGTTTTGTCATTCTTTCCTTGGGGCATTTTCCACCTCTGCTGGGTAGGAAGTCCTCTTCTGGACTTGATCTGATACATTCTGCCCTTGGAGACGAAAAGCTCTGAGCCCATCACTTGCTCAGCATGACATCCTACTTACCTACCTGACGCCTAGGTTTCTTCTCAGCCTCGGAGACGTGTCTGGCAGGTGCCCATGTCGGACCATCGTGTTAGGTGGCAGCTCTGTCCTTAAAGCTGGGCCCTGAGAAGTAGAAACAAGGACCCTGACCCTGCTATCTCAAACCCGTGGAAGTTGGGGTACTTCAGGTTACCCTACAGTCAACGGTACTGATAGCCTGACCATGGAATCCTTTGTTACTAAGTGCTGTGTGGAAACAGTTGTACTGTAGGCCTCCTGGCTGAGGACTTGCTGGCCTGATATTAAGGGTTAAGGATTGGCTAAATCATCTGGATCATATACAGACATAAGCTGGCTGTTAGTATTTGTGGTGGTGTTGGTTGTGGTGTCTTTTCCCGGCAGTTTATCCTTGGCAGGAATCTAGGAAGGCAAGAAATCTGCCTGCCTTTCCAGAGTGAATGAAGACAATTTTGCTATGTGTTTGCTCCACAGTCAGCATATGACTCTCAGCAATTTGCAGAACTATCCCATAATGTCATGAGGTGCCATTTCATCCATTTGAGGGTAAAAAAGAGCTCCATTTTCAAGTTGTCCCCAGCACATAGTAGACATCCTTAAAAGTTTGCTTAATTGCTTTGAAGATAAGTAAATAAATTCTTTCACTTTAAGGAGACCAGCCCAGATAAAGAACTGATCAAGAAACCTCAAAGTTGTCACAGTTCATAGCTGGGATATGACTTCCTTTTATTCTGAACGTTGATCCTTGCCTAATCTCTTCAGCACTCAGATAAAGCCTTTATGGAAAGTACTAGGTAGCAAGTGTTCTATTTAGAATTCTTAGTCAGTGAGCAGGGCTGGAACCACATCCTGACCACTTTTGCTCCCCTTTTGTCTGGCATAGGGTGGGTCAGGGGATCGTTCAGTAGTTGTCAAAACCAAAGTGGTGTTATCAGAGTGGTGGGTGTGAACTAGTGAACTAGTACAGTAGCATTCAACTGGATTAAGGGTGGCTTGGGATGCAGAAATAGCAAAGGCAGGATTTTCATAACAATAATACCACCACCGCTGCCACCACCTCACCCCACCCTCGGTCTGCAAAGTCACCTGCAAGTGGGCCGTGCTAGCAGTCCCTAATCTTGCCTGCCTGGACTGTCTAGTAGGTCACAATGTCCTTGGGCATGCAGTGTTGCACCTAATCCTCATTAGAGACTGAGCCAACCTCAGAAGATATATTTAAGTGTTTACTTTTGGATGATTTCTGGTTTAAAGTACATAGGACAATGAGGCAGGTTGTAAAAAAGCACTTAACATTTACCCTGTTCAATGTTTTACCTGTTTGAACATTGAACATACCTTCTCTGTTGTGACAACTCTGTAAATGGAAGAAACAAATCCTTTGTTTGCCCAGTGGCATAAGCACTTGCCTGGCAAGTGTGAGGTCATGAGTTTGATCCCTGGTACCCCTCCCCCAAAATTGCTAGGTGGTGTAGCACATGCCTGTAATCCCAGCACTCAAGAGGCTGAGGCAGAAGAATGATTGTGAGTTTGAGACCATCCTGGGCTACAAGATGAGCTCAAAGCCAACCTGAACTGCTAGTGAGACCCTATCTCAAAAAGACAAAAAAAGAAAGAAAGAAAAAAAAAAAAACCTTTTCAATTTGAAGCAGCAGTTTCAATGGCTGTGCATCAATTCTACATAGAGATAATATCAAAAACATAGAACCTTGGGCTTATTACTGAGAACTAACCTAAGTTCATTATTTGATGAGTTTCTTTGTTCTTTCAATATGGATTTACTGAATTTACATTTCATATAAGGAAAAGGCTCTGTGCTAGACGCAATGGTGGGTGTGATTTGCTCTTGGCTTTGAGGGAGTTTAAAGTGCAGTGAGAAAACATGCATAGTGATTGATGCCTCCCAAAAAGGTGGGAAGAATTTGCTGTATGTACAAATGATCATTATCCAGACTATGTGTATAGAGAAGGGTGTAAGAATTCAGAAAAAGCCTTGAGCTTCATTTTGAAGAATGGTCAGGAGAGCCAAGAACATGTGAGGAAAAGAAATTTCTGAGCAGAGGAACAGCATGTATTTAGATTTTTTGTTTGTTTGTTTGTTTGTTTTTGAGACAGGATCTCAATATTTAGACCAGGCTGGCCTTGAAGTCCCTTCTGAGTGATGGGATTATAGGCATGTACTGTTGGGAAAGGGGCAGTAAGTACCACTGGGTGTCTGAAGGAAGACAGGAAAGGAGAGATAGGAAGCTGACTTGGCAGCAGACTGGGAAAGGCCTTAAGTACCAGGCCCATGAATTTGAATTTTACCTTGAGAGTGGTGGGAGCCTCCAGAGGAGCACAGCTTGACAGTGACCTGATCAGATTTGTGTTTGCTGAGGATGAAAGATGTCTCTGACAGGCTAGTGAAAGGCCACACTGAGACTAAGGGTCAGTTGAGAGCCCTCTGGCCCACACAAATATATAACGAAAGAAAAGAGCAAGACTTTGAGACAAGTGGCAGCCAGGATGGGAAGAGCTGAGGAGGAAAACAAAATGGCGACATTCCAGGACTGGATAGCCAGCAACTCAGTGCCACAGTTCACACGGAGTTTGTGGGAAAGGAACAGGCCTAGGAAGACTCCAGGCTTTGAGTTTGGAGAGGCCACATCTAGGCAGCTATGTGTGGGCTAGTGGGTATTTGGGGAACCTTCGTGTGTTGTGTTAAAGCTGGGGACTGGGTTGGATTTTATCAGGAGAATATATAGAGGGGCAAAAAAAAGGCTGTCCCTACACACTCCTAGTATCACATCCCTAAGGCTACACAAGACTTGTGAGTAACCCATTGCCTTGTTAGTAGATGGGAATAGAGGACCAGTTTGCTTATTAAAGTAAAATGTGGATGTCAGATACTAAAGGTGTAAACCACGGTTCCACTGTTCTTCCAGGAGCCTTTTTGTGTCAGTTTTCTGTTTGCCTTTTGGAGTATCTCCAGGTTGGTAGAGATTCATTTCAAAAACCTCATTTGCTTTTAGACTGCTGGTTAGTTTTCTAAAAATGTTCTCAAATTAGAACTCTGGAAAAAAGCATCTCATCCCAGAGATCAGTGATGGAAGAATTTTCAGAGTTATTCTGCTTTCTCTCCAGAACCTTGGTTTTTCATCAAGCAAGATTTAGGAAGAAATTAACTAAGGGCACAGAGACTAAGCATCTGCTAATCCTCTCCCCAATCTTTTTTTTTTTTTTTCTTTTTTATCAGTACCGGGGATTGAACTCATGACTACCTGCTTGCAAGGCAGGTGCTTATGCCACTGAGCTAAATCTCCAGCCCCCCTCTCCCCAATCTTTCTCTCACACAGAGGGCCTGCATGGGCAAGGCTTAGGAAAAACTGATACTGCCAAAGGAGCCTTTATCTACCCACTGCCCGCTTGTACTCCCCATAATGGTGACTGGATATCTGATGAGTTTGTGAGCAAGTATCTTTGTCTCTCATATAGGAGCATGTGGCTGCTCAGCCTCAGCTTTGACTTGTAGATTGTGTGTAAGCAGTGGTGGCCTCCCTCCAGTCACCCTGGTGTTAGGCATATTCACATTTTTCTCTGTCTCTGTCTATCTCTTTCTCCGTATCTTCCTCTCTTTCCTTCCACCTCTGTCTCTCCCTATCTCTCTTTCTCTTCCTCCTTAAAATGATTAAGTTTGCACACTCCATCCTGTGTGGGTAGTGTTCCCCCTTCTTTCCTTTCAGTACTGGAGACTGAACCCAGGTACTTGCACATGCTAGGCAAATACTTTTCCATTGAAGTAAATTCCAAACACTTATTATCTTGAGACAGGTTCTCACCAAATTCCCCAGTTTGGCCTCAAATTTGAGATCATCTTGCCTCTGCCTAACAAATAGCTGTGATTATAGCCATGTGTCACCATACCTGCCATGGCCTGCTATCTTACAGGTGATGGAATAATGCTGTGCATGACTTGGGGTGTTTCCCTTAATCTGAAACTGTGTGTCTACCTGTTATGGTTTTAATTAGAAATTAAGCTCAGGTTTTCAGATATTCTCAGGAGAGTATATGGAATGAGGAAAAGAAAGCTGTACCTGCAGAATCTTAATGATATGTCTTCAAGGCAGAAAAGGTTGGTAACCCATTGCCTTGTGGGTGGGCACTCTCAGAGATTGTTTACTGATGGTATTCTGTTACCAATAAAAAAACTAATCAACTGTTCTAAGTGTACTTCATTGTGTGGGTCCCACCAATAGCCCCCCTCAGCCCTTCCTTGAGTTTTTTTGTTCTCGGTAATTCCTGTCCATAGTTTATTTCCAACAAAGATCTTTCCAACAATTTAGCCTTTGTATCGTTGAAAGTTATGAACTTTAAAAGAATGGAGGACTGGCAATAACTTCTACCTTGGTGCCTCTGCCTCACTCCCTGCATGCTTGGGCACTGTATGTTGTTTGGCAGCCAGTGAATCTCAGGTCTTTAGCTTCTGAACTGGGCTTATACCACCATCCTTTAGTCTGAGCCACAAAAATTATTCACTGGCTTGCTTTCATCTCATACAACTCCCATACTCTAAGCAGGCTGTGTTCTTTGTGGTCCTGT